TGCATTTTATAAGTAATGGTTCGTTGCCACCGATATGTATCATCGAAACTAGGCTAACTTACTTCTTTTCTTTTTATCAGACAGTATCGTTTATTTATTTATTATTCCTATTATCCTAATATAAGAAGAAGCATTTGTCTAGAGAAACAGTAAATACATGTTAAATAATATTATCTTGTAAATGTAACAATATGCACAGATCTATTTATTTTTTCTACATCAAGAGACACAATGACAAGTATATTATTCTATTGTTTATCCTATAATACTATTGTTTTAGAAGAAAAAAAAACAACAGATGGATGATCTATAGATTCTTCTCTAATCTGTTCAGATAATATGAAAAAATATATTTCTGTTTTTGTTTCGTTCTCTGATACGAAATGAAAACTTTTGCCACAATATAGATATAATTCTACTTTTGATTTATTAATTTTATTGCAAGAAATTGTTTGAAATTATCTCTAACAAGAAAAATGGCCACATGTATCAGTAGAAGAAAAATAGGTAAAACTTCATAACACTACCATAACTTTAATTTCAATATTAATAAATTAGTCGAATTTTCAATCATCTGATTGTTACACTATTGTATGTGTGAATGATTTTCATAGCCATTGTACGGAGTTGCGATTCATATAATGTTTCGCTTATAAAATTCGTTCCACTCAGCTGATTTTGATAATTATTTTTTATTGTTTTTATTATTTTGAAATAGATGTACAACTGTGAAAATATAAAGCAATTTTTACTTACTATTCTAGAGAAATGGCTTAAATAATAAAAAAAACATCAAGATTTTAGTTTTATATATTTTAAAAAACTATTATTTCAAAACTAACTAATATACAAGTGAATTTGTATTCGAGTTTATACAAACGTGTAGCCAACAATTTTAGATATCTCAATATCTAATTAAAATTTCATTCAAACAAATTCTATACAAAAAACTTTCATAACACTTTGCTGACACACACTTTTCGATTTTCATATTCATCGACATTAAAATCAAGTTTTCTCAGTGAGTTTTGAACATTTAGACTTTGGTGACGGTGATTCAGATCTAACATATATTTCAAAGATCTTAAGATGCTTTACAAACTGAGTCCAAAAGTCTTTCTAATTTTTATTAGGTAGAACTACTCGAAAGTTATGCCATTCGATTCAGCTTGTCAAGCTCCATCGATCGGCATAGAATACGACTTTTCTCTGTTCTTATATAATCGTGTGGGATCATTTAAACTTTAACTGCTTGCAGCTACTTATTCTAAAACTTCCTTTCTAAAAAAAAGATTTTCTCGTTTGCTACATAAATAAGTGTTGGGAAAATAATGTTTTTATAAACGATCAACATAGATCTATCGAGTGTATGACTCGGATTTTGTTTTCTTCTGCAACTTTATTATTTCAATTTTTTTTTCTCGAACGACACAATGGCTATACAAATCACTTATATAATTATCTTTTCGAAAAAAATCGTTTTCACTAAATATAATTAAGATTTATAATTATTTTAAACAACAAATTAATTGAAATACGTTATAGTAGGAAGTTCGAATTATTCCTGTTCATCAAACCTGTTCGTCTTCATATTAATGCACGAAAATAAGATAAACATTTTTTTGAATAAGTGTTTTTACCTATATATATATATAAGCAGATGTGTTTTATGTAATATGATCTTTTAAGGTAAAAGATTAACTTTGTTCAAACCAAAGGCAAGTGTAAAGTTTATCAAGTAGTAATTTGCATGAGGGATGAGATAGAAAATAAAAGCTATATAAAATATGCCATCGAAAAAATCTTTGTTCATATAAAAAGAAGAATAAAAAAAGAGGAAATAAAAAGAATAAAGTTATTTGTACAGTTTAAAATTCAAAATACAGTATTATCACTTCGCGTACATATACACACATTCTTCTTAAATTCTTGAATAAAAGTAAGTATAAAATAATTAGTTCTTACCGTGACCTTTGAGTCTATTTCCTACTGGAAATTTTAAAACGAGATTGTTGTTGAAATATAATTTTCAGACCTCTAATATACTTACTACTCATCTTGATATAGTTCAAAACTGATATTTTTTTCAAAAATTATCCTAGTATGAAGTGTCAGTAAATTGAGAGAAATGAACGTTAGCTTAAAATTTGCCTTTTCGTATTATCAATACACTTAACTTAGTAAAAATCATTACTTTTCTACTGTTATCTTTCACAAACTCATCACTTGTTTTTATAGAAAATCATATAAGATTTAGTTTAAAGAAGTATGTTGGCTGTGAAAGATAATCTCATTAGGAATGTACCAAGTCTTGAAACCTTGTCACAACAATTGTATGTTTCTGGCATTCAAAACTCCCAGTTCCTACCGAAGTATCAGATTTAATCCATTTTCTCTGCTTTATGCGAAACTTAGAAACTAATCAAATTGAGCAAAATAGTACCAGATTTACTAGAACTTGTCTTTTTTCTGTATCTTTTAGTCTTACCAAGTCTGATATCATTTTTCTCAATTTGATTAGTTTCTAAAATAATTAAAAAGTCTGGAGGCAAGAATTTTTCAATAGGATTGTATTGATTTATTTTCATTCGCTGATAGACCGAAAAAAGAAGATGGAGAAACAAGCAAGACCTTGATTTTCCGCCGTTCGGGCATTGTATCGGATTTCCTACGAGTCCCAGAACTGGCACCCAGTGACTATTGGTAGTCTGAAAGACGGATGCGTAATCGACCATGCTAAGTCTTGTGACAATATTTGTTTTGGACAAAAAACTTAAAAAAAGGTAAAAATCTATCCAAAAATAATCTTCTAGTTTTACCAAAATTAGGGTTTTCAAGCTTTTTCACGTAATATTAAAAAATTCACTATTCACTCAAAAAAGATCAGAACGACTTCAAAATCTCAGGATACGATTAATGTTGTCCGCTAAACGTAATTATAAGTCAAAAAAAATTGGAAAAGACATATTTTTTCATAGATTTTTCAGACACCCTTTTGGAGAACTTTAGGGTTTTGTAAAATTTCTTTAAAGAGCTTGTATAAGTAGCATGTAGAATAGCTTAAATACTCTACATTTTGAAGTTCTGACGTTGTTCTGATGTTTTTTGAGTAAATAGTGAATTGTCGTAAATTGACAACTTTCGTAAGTCTTCAACTCAAAATTCCAACTGTTGAGTTTAATTTGAAATTTAAAAAATTGAACTTTTTTAAAATTACAATAGTTCAGCTGAAGTAAGCGATGGAATCTTAGTTCAAATGTGCTTGAACAGAGAATTAAAAACTAAACAAACTTAGGGGTTAAAGCTGGGAGATTCTCACCATCTGTAGTGCAATAATTGGTCTATTTACCTGTGCAAAAATCATTAATTAGTATGATTAGCTTAACGAGAAAATTGTTTTTTACTAATGAATTATTTCCTGTGTAAAATACATGGCGTATCCAATTACCGCATCAATTTCTATTGCTGTTTCCAATCGCCACAAGCGGGGTAATTGGAAATGTTCGTTAGAGATTTCAGCAAAACACCGAGAAGTTCGCTTGGGACACAGAGTTTTTTGACAATTTTTAGATGGGCTTATAGAGAACTTCCTCCTCTATCTACCTGTAAATAGAGCGCAAAAAGATAATTAAAATTAACAAAGTTATACGATTTAGACGTCGAAAGAGCCAAAAATCGTTTCCGATTGTCCCAGTTTACTCTAGTTACAAAATGAAAAACCGTTTTTTGTTTTTTAATCTACGAGTTTCCTAAAACTAGAAGATTATTTTTGGGTAGATTTTTACCTTTTTTTAAGTTTTTTGTCCAAAACAAATATTGTCACAAGACTTAGCATGGTCGATTACGCATCCGTCTTTCAGACTACCAATAGTCACTGGGTGCCAGTTCTGGGACTCGTAGGAAATCCGATACAATGCCCGAACGGCGGAAAATCAAGGTCTTGCTGGTTTCTCATATTGACAGTTCGGTCTATCAGCGAATGAAAACAAATCAATACAATCCTATTGTTAGACAAGGCCTAGTTTTCCAAAGATCTCCTGGAAAACCTATTTTAGAAAACTTTTCTAAAAAATATTTTGCCTATGAAAACACACTTCCAAGCCTCCTCTTCAAATGGTGAAAATCGGAGATCTTTATCTCTTTTCGTTCTCGAGATATATGAAAAATGGCCACCGGCACCGTAGTTTGAAAAGAACAGTAGTTTCGGAAAAAGCAGAAAAAACTGATTAAGTCTAATGATTCGATAGGACTTGAGAGTTTTGAACGCCAAAAACATACAATCGTTGTGACAAGGTTTCAAGACTTGATACATTCCTGATTGAGAGTATATCACAAGGCACACGTGGATCAATCAATATAGGTTAACTAGAAATAATTATGTTAGATATTTAATTTAGGAGAAAGAAAGAAAATTAAATGCATTTGACCATGAAATATTGTATTGTATCCACATGTGTAATTAAAATAACGAGAAAATAATTATTGTTTTCAAATGAGGTTCTTTATAGAATTAGATAATAACCAGACAGACATGTTCTATGCGTGCGAGACGGATATTTATTGGAATGCGGTGCAATTTAACCTAAACACAATAAAAGAACAAAATCAATGTATGTATAGAGGAAAATTAATATTCAACAAAAATAGAGGTCCATTGAGGAAAAAAAATTGTTTTTTTATTCTATTCATCATACACAATGGCCAATGAATATTTTCTATTCTGCGGTAAAACTTTGTGCATAAATAAGATCGTATATAACACAGTTGCACGCTTCAATCTTTCTATGGTCCATTTCACAAATATTACCTATGCCGTAGGATAATATAATAAATCTGGATTTTCAGCTCGTAGAGTACCTTATCAAACTTTAAAATGATTTGAAGAAAAGATTACATAAAAAAAAGCGTGTTAGTTTTGATTCTTCTACTTAGTTCATATACATACGCTTAATTTTCTTCATACATAGTTGTAATAAAAAAAAAAATTTTTATCTAAGGATATGTATTCTCCTGCCACGAACATGATATTAATCGACCATCAAACACGTTTCACTCGAAACGTGTCATATTCAACATTATCAAGGCCAACATCTACATTATCAACTATTCGTAAACAAATTTATTCGAGTACATCTCAAGCACTGCCGCCACCGTTAAATTTCTCGTCAAGTATAAATTCTTCTTCTCTTTCTTCTTCTTCTTATGATGATTATTATTCATTTCCGTTTTCATCCCCATCGCGTAGTCGTCATTATCGTTGTTTAAACTTGTTAATACCAGAAACATCTGATTTTTTCTATGATAACCACAATCGTATTTCAAACACGAATCAATCAAAAGTATTAATTAATAATGATCGTTTGAATAACCGATTATCGAGTAAAACAAAATATCAACAAAAAGATAGTAAATCATACGATTTATATTCAAGACCATCTAGCTCCTACCAACATCTCGGTACACTACAACAACAACACGTAAAGTCACATCATTTGACCAATAAGTTGATTCAAACACCATTATCTACGAAAAAAGTTTATCATCATTCAAAACAATCAGAAATGACGGCACTAAACGAAGTTGATGATGTTTTAATTTCATCAAATATTGGACAATTAATTGCATCATTTGAGCGTATGTGTCCAGGATTATATAAGACTCATTTTAATGATTCAATTCGTATCTTAAATGAAATAATGTGTCTTGCTGAAGAATGGCTCAATATTCAACAAATTTATACAGCTGAAGAATTATTATCGAATGAACATTTATTCGAGAATTATAAAGAAAAAATCAATCAATCGAGAATGATATCATTAGCAGATGAAACAGATAATCAATACGAGATAATTAAATGTTATGGAAAAGGGATACAAGCATTGAAAAATCAATTACATCAAACTACAATGTTTTGTTTTGAAACAAATACTTACGTACGCCTACATGATTTAACTGTTCAAATCACTAATAATTATCAATATGAGAATGAACATTTACCAGTTAAATTGAACTATATAAATATGTACAATAATAAAAATATCTACTCATGTACATACATTCCAAAACATGAAGGCACATATAAAATATCAGTATTCTATCAAAATATACCATTATTAAAACAACCTTACACCGTATTAATTCGATGTCGATCATTAACTTTAACAACAATCAAAAATACACAACAAAACGAAAAATTGAATCAACCAGAAGAGACAGCACCAACAGTACATGGACCAGGTAAATTTTGGATCTTTTTTTTGTTATTTCTTTATATTCAAATTTGATCTCATTATTGACTCATTGTCAAAACGAATCTTGAATGATTTGGAGATTTTAATAAGATTTAAACGATACTTTATTTAAATTTTTCGATTTTTATTTCTTTCGAATTATTCTCTCATCTTGACCAACTGTTTCCTCTTTCACAACCACTAATTTCACGTTTGATCAAACAGCTAAACGAAAGTTATTTTCAATCTCAGTTGAAAAGAGAAAAAAAAAAGAAGTATTTTGAATTCTTATATTTATTACATGAGAAAGTTAATCGAAACAAAGTAGACAAGAAAATATTTAAAGTATCGGAATTCTATATCCGCTCAGTCTAGAAAATAACTGACTTCTCATACAATAAGTTCTTTTAGAAAACAAGACGGGAATGAGAGAAAAGGATAAAAAAACAACCTACAGAGTGTGTTGAAATAAAAGCAAGAAAATAAAATATGATGATGCCTGCTGTTTTTGATTCTAAGAGAATTAAAAATTATATGACACGATTCGAGTACACTTTATTATCGTCAATTTCAAAATATTGCATCATGATTAAATAATATTTTCAAGTATCCAAATATTTAACTTATGAGAAAGTGCGTGCGAGATATTCACTAGAGAACGAAATCACTAAATAAAAACACGCATGCTTAAAATGTCACGTGTTTGAGAGAAAAATATTGTATCGCACGCTATACAAACAATATTTTTATTCAGTTGAATATATAACAGTCGAGTTTACAGAACTGAACTATCTACGATGGTAGAACTAAGTAAGTATAAACTTTGTTCCGATTATCTCTTCGTTTCTAAGAAGTTTTCATTTAAAAATTGTCAGTTAAGAGAAAAGTAGAATGTCGTAGACAATGTTAAAGGATATACCGAGAATTTCATTTGTTACGTCAATCTCAAACAAACTTTTCTATAGTTAAAATCAATTAGAAGAGCGTTGATTGATTATATTCGGTTATAGAGAATGAAAACTTAGTTTCGAAATACCATTATTTAAAGGCTAAAAATTAAGAATCAACCTAGTATTGTAACCAGAAATTTAATGTATTCAATCTAAAAACGAATCAGCAAAGTGTACCCTTTTTATTTTATTTCTCTTTCTTTTACAGGGATTGAAGCAACTTCTGTATTAGTAGATCTTCCACAATGGTTTGAGGTTGATTGTAGTAAATCGAATCTGAAAGGTGGTTTAATAGAAGTCATTATTGTCGATTTAATCCATGGGAAACCCTCGTCCTATGCTCATGCATCGATTGAACCACTTGGAAATCAGAAATTTCGGTGTGATTACTCGATTTCACAAACAGGTATATAATACGGCAATATGTTCTTTTGTTTCGTCTTTTATGTTATAATTTTTTTTCTTTTTAGGTCTCTATAATATTATTGTGTTACAAGGTGGTAAACCTCTTCCATTTAGTCCGATAAAAATGACAGTAACAGAGCCGAAGACAACAGAAATGTCCTTGTCTACTCATCAATCGAATACTACATTCAATCATACATTAATTGCTGATGATGAGAATAATAATAAGTGGAAATTCTTTGCATTTGGTCCGGGATTGAGGACTGGCTATCAGAGTTATCCTTCAACATTTTATGTTGATTTCAGTGGAAATACCGAAGGCTATTTAGAATTTTTAATTAATAATTCACGTGTCACATCTGTTGTTGATTATGAAAAGCAATTTGCTGAAGTTTGTTATTGGCCAGAAACTACTGGCGATTTATCTTTAAACATATTATATTGCAGTAAAGATATTGAAATATCACCGATCATTTCAAAAATAGCCACATTATCGATGCCTATATTTTCGGATCAATTACCAATAATTTCTGTTAACGGTCCCGGTTTTACACCGACTGATGATGCTGTTATTGTTAATAAAGAAGTTGAATTTAAAGTCAATCTTGATAAACAACATGACAATTGGGAATTGAATGTGGAAATTTATGATCAAGATTACAATATTGTACCAGTCAAAATTCAAAAACAAAATAATTTGACATATATATGCTCGTATACTCCATGGAAATTAGGTCGATATACGATTAGTATTGATTACGGTCATATTGTAATTCCAGAAGGCAATCCGTTTAGAATAACACCATTATCGAAACAAATCGAACTATCTGGACCGGCATTTACAGAAAAAACATTAAATTTGAATTCACAAACACATTTTTGTTTGAATTTAAAAGACATAACGGGAGGACGACGAGAAGAACAGTATTTAAAATCAACTACTATTCTCGGTAAAGACTCTGAAAGTGGCTATAGTTCGAATGATGATGCATCATTGACCGAGAATGCTTCATTCCCCGATAATGAGACATACAAAATAACAATTAAAGATGATAAAGGACGAATAAAGCCAATTAATATCAAACAATTGAACAATGATAATTTATGCGTTCACTTTATGCCTGACTCAAAAGAAACTTACATTAATGTATCTGTTATGTGGTAATCACTCTCTTTTTCTCACGTTACATTTTAGCGAATGCGTAGGTTTTTTTTTCCTCATTTCTTTTATCATATCGATGAAATGAATTATTTTCATTCTAAGGGGAAAGGATAATCCCCTTTTATAGTATAAAACTTCAAACTTTGTTATTTTGTAGAGAATATGTTGCTCCATATATTCTGAAATTTTTTTTCATAATCGAGTCAAGCTTTACCTTAGTAGAAAATTATTTTACATTGTAATTACAAGTTTGTCTATATCTTTTTTGCTGAAAATTGTTTTTTTGTGAAAGTTTATGGAGATTCACTTTCAAGAAAAAAAACGCAAAAAAAAGTTGATGTTCCAAAAATAGAAGTAATTAATTATATATTTAATTCATTATTCTAGAGCATTTTAACCTTATTTAAAAGCCTATTGTGTTGGCTGAAAGTGAAATATTAAGTATTCTCATTTGAATCAGCTTTTCAAGCTCTACATAAAGCAATACTTTAAGTTAAAAATATGATAATAATTGCAGCTGTATTATCATATTTTTGACTCGAAAGTCGTTGCCCTCGTACAGAGAATACTTTAAGTTGATTTTGATGAAATTAGTGGTCTAACGAGTGGGCCAGAATAAATGGCGCATTTTTGTTCTTTGTTTTTGAGACACTTCCCAGTGGTGCAAAGAGTTGCTTCTAGGCAGGCTCAATCGATACGGTATTGAATTCTCTACAAAATCTGCTATTTGAATCTCTGAGAGCATTTTTCTTGTTTGAGCATCATTCAAAATATTGAATGGTTTTCTGCGATAGCTGTTTTTCTCTGTCTCCGTCAATAAAGGTTGTTGAAAATCCAAAACACTATCTCTTGGAATGTCCAAAGTACGATCGAGCTCGAGCAATTCTGGCTATTCAGCTGGGTAATCTAGGTCTTAGTTTAGATATTGATACACTTCTACTTAGAACACATTTATCCAGTGATCTCTTGATATCTGTGTGTCAGTTTGTGGGTGATTTTATTACTGCCAGTAAGCGTTTCTAACAGACTACGTCCTTTACTTTTTCACTTTTACAGATTTAACTGATCCACTCCCTTGTTTCTAAAACGCCAATATTAGGTGCTTTTCTCCTATTGACACAGTTTCCTTTATCTATTTTTATTGCTCTCACTTCTTTCTCTAAGTCCAACGTCTTTCTTTTCTTTTTGTCCATTTTTATTTTATGATGATGTTCTGTTTAAGGATTTCTCTCAGGAGATACAATATAGTCCTTAGGACAACGATTTCACTTGTTTGGTCTTCTTTTCTTGTTTCTTTTTTTCGATTTCTTTAAATAAAAAGCTTAAATTAAATTAAAATATTGAAGGATGCCGAGTTGTCGAACTGCGACACACTGAAGTCGTTTCATTTTTTTAGATTTTTAGCCCGTTTAATGTTTAATAGTTAATTTTTCTACGCAAAAAGATAGAGAATTTTGCGCTCTATCGATCTCGCTCATTTACAACTTCATACAATGTTTCCGCTACGTCCGCTGGAATCATAATTAGTTCTCAACTGGCTTTTCAATTTTTTCAAATTAAATTAATTTTTTTAATTAATGATTTCAATTGGGAAACTTTGTTTATATATCAAAAGGCGTAGAATTTAATTCTGTGTGTGATAATAAGACTAAAATCCTGAATTCAAAGCGTTTTACTGCTTTTATAGCCAAAAAACTAAAGTTTGTTAAAAATAGGTTCAAAAGTTAGCTTTTTTAAAAGTTATCAGTTTTTTGCACAGAGAAATTTTCCGAACTGCGACACACTACAAAGAGAAAAACATTTACCTTGATCCAAAAAGAGATTCCATAAGAATTTGGAAAACATTGTATGAAGTTGTAAATGAGCGAGATCGATAGAGCGCAAAATTCTCTATCTTTCTGCGTAGAAAAATTAACTATTAAACATCAGATAACAGGCTAAAAATCTAAAAAAATGAAACGACTTCAGTGTGTCGCAGTTCGACAACTCAGCATCCTTCAATGTTTTGAATGATGCTCAAACAAGAAAAATGCTCTCAGAGATTCAAATAGCAGATGTTATAGAGAATTCAATACCGTATCGATTGAGCCTGCCTAGAAGCAACTCTCTGCACCACTGGGAAGTGTCTCAAAAACAAAGAACAAAAATGCGCCATTTATTCTGGCCCATCCGTTAGTTTTCAGAATACCTAAACTCACTCGGTAACCACAGTTTGATCCGTAGAAATTATTTATATTCTCACACTTCTTAACCTTTTTAGACTCAAAATTTTATGCTTTTAAAGAGAACTTGTAACCTTAATTTCAAATGCGTTGAGAGTGACGTCATCAATTATTTCTATAAAGCTTTAACTGCTGTCACGCTGGAAAAGAGTAGTATGCATTTCCATGGTTTCAGATACGTTGAATATTTTTTGTTCCAAAAGTGTTTCTTCTTATCCTCATATTCTCTGTATATAATAACTAGTAAGATCTTGGATGTACGCTCACTCAAAAGTCTTAGCAAGCTTTTGGGAATTTGCACAATGCAAAAAATCAGAACGAAGGGAGAAGATTACCACTCTTGAAGAAACTATTCTGTCGTGTACATAAGTAACTCATCTATAAAACATTTGTTCTAAAAAGGCTTATGCTTCTTACTGCCTTTTCTGTTTTGTTCGATGTGCAGTTTTGAAAAATGTATGCATTTCGCACAAAAATTTCTTAATAAAGATTGTTCTGCTAACTTAAGTTTTCTAGAGCAAACATTTTTCTACAATATGAGCTGAAAGAGAGAAGGTACTTCTCCTTTTGATCCAGTATTTTTAGAACAAACATCTCTTAAAAATCCCATAACTAGTTATAATGAAACAACTGATTTAAGGTTCTCTGTTGAAAAGCGATTTTGACAGAAGCAGAAAAGATGAATATTTCTGCAATACCTTACCTTGGAGAAAAATGTTTACCACAAAAATTTCCAGAAAAATTTGAATATGCGTATTTTCCATGTAAACCGTTACAAAAAGGTGAAATATACCGATTTTTAATCAGCAAACTTCAAGAATGAAGAAGATGAACATAATTTTAGCACAATGATGCAAACGAGCAGTTCTTAATCCACTGGTATACATTTCAGTTCCCTTGAGAATTTTCTTTAACTCTCCTTCGAAAATGAAAATAAAAATGGCAACATACGTAGTTGAAGACAGAAAGCTGGAAAGAAGTTTTAATTTTGTTAATTCAAGGCTCAAAGTTTATTCAAGTTGATAAATTATAAACGGTAGTACAGAACATTATGTGACAAAAGAACAAAACAAAAACCTATAAAAAATGAGCGGTTAGTATCTTTTAACTTAATTATTATTTTTTTCTGGTCAGTTGTCTCACAATTCATACTTTCAATTATATATACAACATTCAAAAGTGATTTAGTTATAAACAAAATAACGAGGTTGAACTATCTTTCATTGATACACGGCTATTATTGCACAAAAATACTTAGCAAATAAAAAGTTATAGATACATGGCATATAAACTCATCAATAATACAAAAAAGAGGAGTTAAAAAAAGAAGCATTCAGAATAAAATTAGATAGTTTGTTTTTTTCACCTACATGAGATTAACAATAAATAACGTGCAATGTTAATGGAGATTATCAAATAAATAAAAATTTACAAAACTATTTGAGTAAAATGCAAACAGTGACTTATTATGAGAATGAAATAATATCTTGATCATCGAGAGAGAGAGAGAGAGAGAGAGAGAGAGAAAGAAGAGAGATGTGAAAAACAGGCAAAAAAATGTTAGATATTAGTAAATTTGCGTACTGTGTTCAAAATAAAATAAATACATGAGTAATAGAACAAAACGTGCAATTTCAATAAATGAAAATAAAAAATAAACAGTATGGAAATCATTAAAAATAGAATGTCCATTTCTATAACTTTTGAGTGATTATCTTTTTCTCCTATCACATAATTGATAGTAAATACAGACTAATGATAAATAATGAGTTAGGAGTTCTTTAACTACTTTAAACTTCGACACGAAAATGAAACGGTTTGCTTTGCATTCTTTCTTCCGTAATTTTCTTCAACGTAACCGTTTTTTCATGATCAATATAAGCGTAAGGTGTTGTTGATAACGATATGGATGGTGATACTGTGGAAATCCCTGAAGGTGTTGGTGTTAAAATGATGTTATTCGATGTTTTTGGAGGGACATTGAGTGGTTTATGATTAGAAAATATGGAAAGCATTGCTTTCTTTTTGGGCTGCTGTGGAATTTGATTGTTTGGTTTTTTCTGATCAGATTGTAAGTCTTGCAAGTCGGTGTGTGATTGAATGATTGATTGTTGATTATTGTTATCTAAAAGACAAATGTCATTCTAAAACTCTACTCACACCTACAACATTTCGATGATCTCTTTTTCATAAGAGTAGAAAAAAGAAAGCATGTTGAAAAGTCTCTCAACTAATTAATACGGTAATCTGAGTACAGGAGATTTTTATTTATCATCAATGTTAATGTACCTACCGGATATGGTCTTCTTTTGTTCATCTTCGTTTATCTTTAATTTATCATCTTCTGTTGGTGACAATAAATGAGTATTGTTCAATTCAGCTTTTACTTCTACGTAATTCAACGACGGTATTTCGGTTGAATGATTTTGTTCGCCATTTTTTATTTTTACAATAAAAGTTTTGTTGTCATTGTCTGTGGTAAATGATTTATTATTATTATTATTATTATTATTATTATTATTATTGTTATTATTATTATCATTATCATTGTTATGATTGTAGACGACATAATTTATTGATAAATCCGGCTCAGAATTATGGATATGATTTATGAATGAAGCAGTTGATGATGAGAGTGATGTTGATATTTGTGGTGTAATATGACGACTTTCACAAGATACACGGTGTTGAGCAAGAGTTTGATCGGATTGTGTACGACGATGATGATGAGATATAGGACGGCGTGAAACACTAGTCAACGTTGAAGTTGATAATGATGGCGGTGTCGACGATGATTGTCGAATTAAACTTCTTGAGAGTACGGTAATTTTTTGATCTAAACAGTTAACCAATAAATCTGCTTTTTTACATCGAAATGCATAACGTGCACTACCCAATGGAGCACGTCTTCCACATTCTAAAATAAATATACTGCCATCTAAACCATAGCGTTTTATGGAATCTAAGGGAATATGTAACGGTTGACGATTTTTCTGTTGAATGCATAAACCATCGGATGTTACTTGAATCTTTGCTGATGCATGTTTTCGACCATAAGAATTAATGTTATCAACACTGAACACATATGGAGAAGAAGAAGAAGAAGGAGATTGAGGAGGAGAAAGAGTAGGTGAAAACGGAAGAGATACAAATGAATCGATGTTTGTTGCACGCGTTGTATGATTACCCATGTTTTACATTTGGTTATAATGAGTAATCAATTAAACATACATCTTAAATAGAAAACATCGTATGTTTATTAATCTTAATGAGATATCAATGAAGCCTTTTTTCAGGATGTCATCAAAAATATTAAAAACAACCAAATTCGTACGCTTATTTCATTATCAAAATAGTTACAAAGTTTAAACAAACTCGTTAAAGAAATGACTGTATAACAAAAACAAAACAAAAGAAAAACAAGATAAATTCAGATTTGAGTTTTCAGAGATATTCGAGGTACAATATTCATTGACTGAAGCTCTTGGAACAGTAATTTACATGCGTAGGGTATTTTAATCGACGCAACGTCTGACGATGATTTACAAAATTGGCACCTTTTAAATAAAACAAAAAAATATTAGAAAAAGAGAAGTCTTATCATAAAAGCATAAAAGTAAACTCACCATCCCGCATATCCAAATAAACCACATTGATTACAAACATCGACTTGAAATTGATCACTAGATATCATTAAACGTTCTAATATTAGCATACTAAAACAAGAATATCATTTTTCAAACAATCTAGCGACCAAAAACAAACCACGACAATTTTTACCTAGCACCATAGCCAATTAAACAATCACCTTAAACAAGAAGAGTAAAATGAATAAAAAACAAACATTGATCGAAGACTTCACACTTACGTTCCATTTCTCCTAAACGTAGCCCTCCATCACGTGAACGACCCTCTGTTGGCTGCCGTGTCAATACTGAGCGAGGTCCTCGTGCACTAAAACAAATATTTACAATAGCACTTTATCACATGAGCTAATCATTTCGTTTCTTTACCGTGCATGCATCTTATCTTGTACCATATGTTTCAGTTTTTGATAAAATATTGGCCCAAAAAATATATATGACTGCAATGCTTCTCCTGTTAAACCGGATGTTACATAGTCTTTTCCTAAGTAATTATAACCATTTTTAATCAATACACTCGATAGGTCAGCAATTTTATCACCACCAAATGCTGTTCCATAACTAAAAAAGAGAATAAAACATGAAAATCATTTTGATTCTGTAATAGGGTTCAAAAACCTACTGAAATTTTCCTTCTAATACACCCGCTTTTCCACCTAACAGTTCAATCAATTTTCCAACTGTCATTCGACTTGGATAACCATGAGGATTCATAATTATATCTTACAAAAAGAAAAAAAATCAGCCGATTTTAAGAGAGAAATTGAATTTCAGTAACTACCAGGACATATTCCACGATCATTGAACGGCATATCTTCTTGATTCACGATTAAACCGCATACACCTTTTTGTCCATGACGACTACTAAATTTATCACCAATTTCTGGTCGACGCGTTTGACGTGTAAGTAATTTTATTATGAACGAATCTTCGTGATCCCTAGTTAACATTACTTTTTCGATACATGCTCCCACTGGATTACGAAAATTAAGCGGCGTTTCTTTATATTCTGATTCTGCAAAGGCGTTTGTCGTTGTTGCATTGCCTGTATTGTCGCTAGCTGAATTTGTTGACGATGCTGGTGAATATTTGTTGACTAGTACCTGAATAGTATCAAAAATCACATTCTTAGTTTGATTTAAGTGGAGAGACAAGATTCATTTGAAACTCACCTGCTTATTCTCTATAATTTCTCCTACACCAGCGATACCATCAACATCTAAAACTTCATGTTTCCAAATTGGTTTCTTTGTTTCACCATCTAATTTTGGACCCATTATTTTATCAAACGTTTGATTTGGATAGCGTTTCAATGCAACAATTTGTTTTTTATACACAATACAACGACCAAAACCTTAAAGAAATAATGCATTAGCAAAGATGATTTATTGCATGTTTTACATACCCCGATCAAGTGATGATTTATTCAAAATTAACGCATCTTCAATATCGTAGCCACTGAATAGACAAAATAAATTGTCTAAAAATTCTTAATGTGATTATTACGAATCCTACCTGTACGACATAACAGCTACAATCGCATTTTGGCCTGCTGGTAGTTTTTCAAAATTGATTAATTCAATTGTCTACAATAGACAGTTTAATAATAACAAAGATAGTCATAAAATGATCATAACAGACATACTCTTGTTTTCACAAGTGGCCGTTGTGGATGAACGAGTAGATATAATAACGTATCACAACGATTGGATTGATTATAACCAATCGCACCCCTTAAATATTAGTTTTTAATTAGTAGACATCAAATAAATGACTACTCCAACGTCACTCACATGGCCTGTTTACCCATAGCACACTGATATGTATTACGAGGTGATTGATTATGATGTGGATATGGAATCAATCCTGCACACACTCCCAGTATGGTAAAGGGTTCAACTTCTAAATGGGTCGTGATTCTAAAAAAGTCCATCATGATTGATTGCAATAATTATGATATTCTTTTTAATGCGTCAACTAACCCATTAATATCTTTCTCATATAGAGCAATATTTGAATCGCCTTCTTCATTAACATCAAGATATTCAACGAGTCCTTCTCTAAGAAAATCGCTAAATGTTCTAAAAACATCAAAAACAGTATGTTACCTGACTATAATACACAAATGAAACAAGAGAGCAGACTAAATACCTTTGTCCAAGTGTTAATTCAACTATATGTTTTGTTGTAACTTTTGGTTGACCATTTTCAACGATAATATATGGCCGACATAATCTTCCACTATCAGCTGATATATGGATAACACGTTGTTTATTTAATGTATAAATACTAATAAATTCATTTAAATAACCTTTACGTCTTAAATAACGTATGGACGCTATTAATTTTTTTGGTTTATTTGTTAAACCAATAATATTACCATTTAAAAATACAATAAATACATCCGATGCATAGATTTCTTCACCATTCATCATTGTTATATCTTCAATGCCGAGATTCATCATTAAACGAATTAACGGCAATTCTTCAATATCGGTTGTTATATGTGTCATTAATGCTAAATTTTTCACTAAACCACACCCTTCTCCTTCAGGCGTATCCGAAGGACATAACATTCCCCATTGTGACGGTTGCAATGAACGAGGTCCAGACACTTTTCGTGTTTTTTCAAACTAAACACAAAATGTTTTCCAGATACTAATATACAATTACAAAGAAAATATTTCTCTTCATATTACCTGACTTGTAATCATTGTCATCATTCCAAGACCGGCTACATACGATAAACGACTTAAAACATGTGTAACACCATGTCTTTCCATTTTGAAACGTTTTATTGTCCAATTTCCCGTCGAAATTGCTATGATAAGCCCATTTGTTATTATGTCAGTACGTATATGTTTTTTAATGTCAAACTGTGTTGCACGTTGACGAGGTATTGTTTTATTTGCGATTTTTTGCAACTAGACGAAAAAGAAACATGAACTGAGAGTTCCGTAAGAACTATTGAAAATACCATCTTACTTCTGAATTAAATCGTTTAAATAAATCTTCAAATAATATGGCTATCAATTGTCCACCCAGTTCTAAACGTTTATTTCCGTAATAGTCACGATCATCTGTTTGTAAATGCCCAAGTTGAGCTTGAATAACACGTCGGACCATTAATGCGGTATAGACAGATTTCAACTTAAAGTCATATTCGTTTACCTCTCAAAAAATAACATAGTAAATTAGTAAGATCATAAATTTATTTTAAAAATAATCTTTAGTTAAGAACAACATACTGGGACGTGTGCAAGTATAATATGTGCTAATAATTCACGGGCTTCATCTAAACGATTTTGTTTTGGTTGTTGTTGTACTGCTGTTGCGGCCATAGAAAACGATGAACCAACAAAATGTTTTATGGCACCTTTCATTTTATTGCTAATATATTTTAATGCCTAGAAAAGAAAAAAAATGATTAAAAATATTTGTAGTTATTAATTAAGTTTCATCTACTTGTAATTGTGTATAAACTTGTACACGGTGACATTCCTCAATTGATGCCGAAAAACAATTTAATATTTCATCTTCATAGCCGATTAATTCGGCAATTTCTTGATCAGATTGTATGCCATAGGCTTTGAACATAATAACAATGGGTATATCCTTAAAATGAATCAACATTTAATAATTTGATGTACATAATATAAACAACTTACATCTGTTAAACTATTGTGGGTTAAAAAGTAACGTCCTTTATTTTCATAGACGCCAGTTTTTGTTTTTGTTATTTGTGTCGTGCTATCATCAAGAGAGAGAGAACGAATGTTTAGCAATTGTCAGTTGAACAAATTAAAGTATGCAAAATACCTCGTTACTGTACATTGGAAACGACCTTTTGAATCTTTTTCAATGAGCATACGATTTTTTGATATTTGTTCTTGAATTAGAATAACACGTTCTGTTCCTAAAAAAGATTTTGAACGAAAGTGTGAAAGCTTGGAAAGAAAAGATTCATTAAAACTATCTACCACGAGTGATAAAATAACCCCCTGGATCTAATGGACACTCTTGCATTTTAGCCATATCAGCTTCAGTTTTGTTGTATAAAACACATTTACAACTTCTCAACATAATTGGCAGTCTAAACGAAATGGAACAAGAAAAGAATAGGTCATCCTTTAACTAAAACCGTTTTGTTAAACACAGATAGTAATTCCTCGTTGGATCCTCATAATATACATAGTATAATTAACTTGATCTACATGTATCAATCTGCGACAATCCGGTGCTAAGCAGAATGTATAAAAGATATCAAAACTCATTTTTTACCTTCCTATTTGAAGACCTTTTCTAATGATGCGTTCACTGCCTCGCGTATATTCAACATCGACGACAATTGGAGCACTATAGCTCATATCTCTTAGTCGACACTAAAATCCACGAAATACACATAAATCAATTGCATAGACTTAAACACCCAAATAAAAGTACAAACTTCATGTGGTGTAATTGGACGAACAACATTAAAGCCTTCTTCCACGCAGGGTGATAAAACTTCAATATTAAGATATCTAAATTACCTAAGAATTGATTGACGAAGTTATAAAAAATAATATTTACCTCATATAAAACGTTGGATCTGATTCGATTAAAATTTCTTGATTTGCTTTCATAATTTTCTTAATCTAAGAGAAAAACATTATAATTCCTAAAATTCGTACAATTGATATGTTTTTAATAATATTACCTCAGTGTTAACAAAATAATCAAATGAATCTAGATGTTGTTTGACAAGACCTTTGATTTGTAAAAAGGCTGGAACAAGCTTCCATTTATCCTACGGGAAAACGGAAAATTGAAGGTAAGAGAAAAACAATCAAACAAAATACACAATGAAGTCTTACTTCAATGTTTTTCACAGGTTCCGATAAACGATCATTCTCAGATTGATATTCAGCAGCAGCGTTTTGAACCCCCATCTTCACCAGAATGAACTTAGATTCTATTATCTATAACAACAACAACGACGAACGTTTCAAAGTATTGAGTAGACATACGCCATGTTGTGTCATGCCCATTTTAAATAACTGGCTTCTTGCAGATGGTTGCGTCATCCCAAAAATCAGCAAGAAAAGTTTGCATGATTCGCCGTTTCCTTCTGAAGCATTTTAGGTAAAATTTGAATACTTAAAGTATGTGAGTATTAAAATAACATCACACTCAACAGTTGAATACATGCGTTATATTAATTGTCGCAATCGATATTCAAATAATATTTTTAACAAAAACTGATTATTATTACATTCTATGGCCAGGAGGGTGTTTCATAAAAACTCTTAAATGCTCGAGTTAACTGTGTCTAGATTTAAGTGTGTAAAATTAACACGTAAGTGTATAAAACCGAGACTTAAGTCAAGCACTTTTTTATGAAACACCCTCCAGAACATTGCCGAAAACAAGCATAATTAGTGTTCCAATGTATTAGAGTTTAAAAAGCCTAGGAATCAGGACCATCTAGAGAAGCGAAAAGTGATAGATTTTCATCACATGTATTCATGAAGAAAACAGTTCGCGGAGTGTGAAGTTTGACGGCCGACCAGTGGAAAACCTCAGCTATATGCTGTATTTTGAAAGGAATTTTATCGATTAATGACTCTCTGATGCAACTGCTGGAGAATAGGATGGTTTCGAATTGTGTTTTGTTGGTAATGGCATCTTATAGATATTTGATTAGAGAAAGTTCTTCATTTTCTTCTTGTCAATCAAAACTATACACTGCGCTCCTTCAGTGGTTGTGTAGTTTATGAGAGATTTTGCTTAAAAATAAGATTGCATCTAATGAAACAAATTAAGGCAGTCAAGGATCTAAGACAAGAGAAGTGAACGTCATTTCTGCGATAAAATCAATCCAGTCGTCCATGTTTTACCGAAACGCCTCTCTAAGTCTACATAGGACTCTTTCTCGTGTTAACTAGAGTGCTTAACCTAGATAAAACGCAGCTTGAAGAAGGTTCGTTTTTTCTAAGAATATCGTTGTTAGATTTTCTTAAAGAATGCTAAACTGATCCAAAGACAGATTGTTTCGATTATTCATTCTGCCGTATTCTCTATTTCTCTCTCTCCTATATAACTTATATTATTTGCACTGCACGATTCTTACGACATTCTGTGTCTGATGCAACTAAATGTTTTATGCACCTTAGAATGTAGAAACTTATTCTACGTAGGAAGCGGAAGGAAAAAAGATTGTTTCATCTTTCGCAATTCTTTATATTGCTCATATCTATCTCATATTACATAACTTTCTGTCAAAATACTTCTATTTCTACTTCTCAACTTTACTGTTGAATATAATATCTTTTGCAAGTTTTAACGACCATTCGAATCTATCATCGAGCACTTTTGTGAATTCAAGAACATTAATGGCCAACAGTAGCATTTATAATAGCAAAACAAATAATATGAAAACGAGACGAAATGGCCTAATTCGTAAAAATCGACGATGTAATTTTAAAAAACCTTTACTTATGCCATATTTTCTATTAGGTAAATATATTTGATGCTTTATAACCCTTAATTTTATGGAATTCAAGTGACTGTAAGTCTTGGATTAATATAATGTGAACAACTGCGCTTACCAAAACTTTTTGCAGGCTTATATGATGATTAATGGGGCTCTTGATATCCGACATGACGGATCCTCTTTGAGTAGCAGGGGTATGTTAGAATGTGGAAATTAGTGATCATGCATTGAACGAATTCCCGTTTCATTTGGAGTTTGACGCTCGAATATAACAATCGTCGTTTGAGATCTGAGGGAAGTGGTAGCCCTTTTATATCATTACGCTATATATAAAACGATAGTATTTTTTTAAACAAAGGTCTGAATTTTATTCTACGAATAGCCCTTGTCTGGTGCTTGCGTCTAGTCAACTCAAAGTTTTTCGAGCATGACTTTTGTGTGAATTTTTCAAACAGAAGGATGAATGACTAGATTAGTCAAGGTGTGGAGAGCGAGAAAATTTTCTCCTAACTATTATGGGCAAGTTCAGAACCATAATTGTCAATTTAAGCATTAGGAAAAAATGCAATTCATCACGTCTAATTTACTCATACAAAACCTGTCGAGCTGAACATTTTCTTGATTAAAGAAACTGGAACTGTGCATTTTTCATTTATTATACTGGATATGAGTTGAGATCTCGAACGTACTCGCGCGGTAATGAAACTTGTCAGAAGTAGACTTCCTACAACTGAAACTGTTCTCTGTTCGACTGCTCTTTTCTTTAGTTCTAGAACTGACGTACTAATTTTTCTTTTTTTCCTTCTAGGTGGTAACGAAAGAGATCCATTAAATTTAAATGCTTTAATACAACAGAAAAAACAAAAGACATCTCAGACCGAAAGTATTAATCTACCTAAATCAAGTAATAATAATTCGTCGAGTGAAGATGTTACTATTGAAATCATGTTACCACCAAATACAAGAGATCCATTGAAACTAGATGATCAACGACCAAATTTATCATTATCAGCGACATCGAAGAGAAAGGATGTAACTCCGTTTAGAAAACGTCGTTATAGACAAATAAGTCAGTCTTATTCGAATCGTAATCATTTTGTTACAAGTCCATTTATTCCTCCTCACATCAGTCACATGGCAAGTATTGCTCCATTTGCTAAGTATATTTCTCCGCCCATTCGTCCTCTGCTATCGGTTCAAACATCATTACCAAACTCGGTTAACAATCATTCCAATTTATGTAGTCCATCATTTAGGTTCGGTACTCAATATTATAATCAAAATCGTGCCAACCCAACTGGATTTCCTGTTTCACTACCATATAATAACAACAATAACAGACAAAAATATGGTAATAGTTTTCGCACTGCATTTTAGTTAACATTGTTGACTTAATGACTCATAATTATACTGTCTGTTTGAACGTAGATCTTTGATGAAAATTTTTTTCGAGATGCTCTGATTACTTCTATTTGTTTTTTTCTTTACTATTTTCTGCTCTTTTAATCCTATTACTTTTTTTACTCTAGAGTAAAGAAACAAATTTAGTTTTACCGACACCTTAAGTTGTCGTATGTACCGTACCGTACTGCAAGTTGGTTCAAAATTATCGTCCAATATCTTTAATCATTAGTGTATAACAAGCATAATCATCAACAAGGTGATGTCAAACTTATTCATCCAAAATGAATGGGTGTGCTGTCCGGCGTATATTTTGCTAGTTTGAAATATTTAACTAGATTAAATAAAGAGAAGAGACTATGGTCATTTAGTATGTTTATGGTATCAAAACAAAAATGGCTGAAATGAACTTAGGTAACTTTTAATGAAAAGTTTTAACTAAAGTAATCAAAAATTATACTATCTTCTAGAGTCGTTCCAATTTATTGGTGATTAATTAATTGGAAACTAATTAATTGAAATAAACGAAAAATGATTCTTTTATTTTTCTTCTCTAAGATAATGCGTGAAAATCGAATTGAGTATACCACGAACAGCTTCCACGGTCTTTTAAAAACTCATGGTGGCACCATGCCAAAAGACAAAGTTGTTTAGCGTTCTGAACTCGATAACCTATAGTCGCTAAGAACTTATTAGAAATAATTACTATTCTACATCCTGTAGTTGATTGCGAATATGCCTCATTATATAAAGACTTCTACGTTTTTGTGCCAATGTAATGTATCTGTTATATTTTTATGATTATAATAAAAGAATGCTAGTTATTTAAATGGCGATCGGGTTACATGACTTCAAGGGATAACTGGAAGCGTATCACCGGACTTCAAAATTCTGAAGTGCAATTTTGAGCCCGGGGAATGCGATATTCGAAATGGGCATGCCTATGTGTTCATGATTTTTAGTCCGACGTACTTCCAACAATCAAGTTAAAACTCTTCAAATTTTGAGAAAAATTCGAGCGGGAATTGTACTCCCAACCAACAAAATATACGTTTTCTTATCGTCTCTTTAGTCCACTGAACTATGAATCTATACTCTGATCCTCGGTTCTTTTGTCATCATCATTAGGGATCCAGTTAATTCTGCTCATTATCATCAGTTAACTATATTCCTCTCAGAGATACTTTGAAGTTTTTATTTTTTAATAGATAAAGGTTAATGTTTAATAGTATTTTTCTTAACTAACATATCGCTGTCAGTTTATCTAGAGAAGAAGACTTAATTATTAATTTAACTCCTGAACTCATAATCAATTATGAATATGTAATTAATTATTATGAAGTTGTTTATAACATTCGCTCGATTCATACAATGACTACAGGACTTGAATCAACATCGGCTGTATTTGCTTATGGTTAATATCTTAAATATCTTAGACATTGCGCTATTGGGTTCTTGCGCTCCAAACTGAACATGCAGCAAGTGCAGTTTCTCCATGATGTCGCTCTTTCTCACTCACTTATCCTTACCCAAGAACGTACCTATCGTGAAGAGAAAGGCAATAATTGACGTACAACAATACCGCAGCACGTTAAACTAATACTACTAAGATTCTTTTCTCCCCTCGGTTGTATCATTATTCGCGTGACATGTATCAAACATGTTTCGATATTGATATGCCCTCTTTTTTTAATTCATGTGTCTGTTAACTCTTGACGGCAAAGTAATGAACTAATTTTGATACCCTAATACAAGTTAGGATGCATTAAAAAGTTCTTTTAAGAAAAACAGCTTGTAAACCAATTTAGTTTTAAATATAACACATGCTATGTTTTTTCTTGAAAGGTAATAGATCAGATCCGTTAGAGTTTCTTGGGTTCAGTTTTAATGAGCTCAAGTGCGTTGATATTTTCTTAACACGTCATAGGAGTTTCATCTAAATACTTGCTCTTCACGTGTTTGAACTAACCTCTCTGAACGATAACGTGAAAACTTTATTATAAATATATCTATATCTGACAATTAGAACAGTTTTACATATAGAAAAATATTGAAAATAAAAAAATTAAAAAAATGTTCTAGTTTCATTTCTCATTTTATAATTTCATTTTGTATAATTTAATAACCTTTTCAATTGCTTCTTTAAAAAGTACATTACCGCAAAATTGACTTTTTATAGGCAGGTTTTCAAAGCTCGACTTAATGTTTTTCGAGATCATAATCCTTCAAAATGTTGGGCACCAAAAGTTGTCTTATTCACATTAAGAATAAAAAAATGATTCTTTTTCCGATGTATTTTTGCATTGCCTAAATTCGAGATGGCGCCACATCATGGTTTGATCTCGAAAGAGATTAAGTCGAGCCTTGAAAATCTGCCTATAAAAAGTCGATTTGGCGGTAATGGTAGTTTCCGATTTTTCTTATTATTTTCATTAAGGATGAATGCATTTCCAAAATCGTATAACATAATTCGATGATGATTATCATTATTAACAAGAAAATTTTCCGATCATAAATCGTTATGTAAAACATTTTGTTCATGTAATTGATCTAATCTTTTTAATGTCATCAATTTTTCATAAATATTTCTGTTTTTCCGCCGATTTTATAAGATACAATATAAAACCCATTTAAATGTTTTAAATAACTAGATACAGTTTTATTTGGAATATAAATACCTTGTAGCAGTTTTAAATGTTAATGATAATTCGTTTTCATTTTGTAGTTGTATCAACATTTGTTTATTTTTCATTAAATCACAGATTTTCGTTACGCATTCTTCATTGTTATATAAACATAGCCGTCTGTCGTTTTTGGCTGTCGTTTCGTTGGATTTGGTGGATACCAGAGCTCCTAATCGGGTGAATTTCTGATGGCCCGCCTGGACCAAGCCGGGCCAAGAAAAGTCGAGGCCTGCCCGACCCACCGTGTTAATCGATTGGCCCGGTCTGGCCAGTAGTCTTTCCTGGACCGCCCGACTTGAGCCCGACTGTGAATTCTTTCTAGACTCAACTCAATTTTGTTATGGCAAAAACGCAGTAAAAGCTTTGCTAAAGATTAGTTCAGCAGCATATACATATTGTACAGCACATATTCGAGAATCTATTGTACAATAAACTCAGTAAAGGATAGAATTCCTTTAGACGGTGTATTTGTTTCTTCTTCTATCATTAGTCACCTGAATTGACTATAACTCTTTTTTTCTCAACAGAATTCACTAAATAATAATAACATATTGTTACTAGGAAATAGCCAAATTTAACTGAAAATATGGAGAAAAATTTTAAAATTTCTCGGTCCTGGGTTGGGTCATCGAATCGGGTGGATCGGCAGGAACTGATAGATCAACATCAGACGACTTTATTGCTGTTGAAATAAATAACGATAGTTTTTCACGCTTCATTAAATAAAACGTTTCATAATTTGTTAAAACACCATACTTCAAGTTATTTACTCGCATATAACCAAATGTTTGTTGTACTGGACGTCTGACTGTGATATTAGAAACACGATAAGCAGCAGCTAAGTTATCCGGTGCTATGAGAGACTATTTTGCTTTTGTTTCAATGACAAGTTTCACTGTCTCGTTGTGATAAAAATAAAGTCGGGTTCCCCTATACGAAAATCCGAATCAAATGTAGTTAAATTAAAGCAATAATCTATAATCAAAGGTGGTGCACTAGCGGCAGATGGTCAACCCAACTGCGCGAAAATTCTTCAATTGTAGAAAAACACAGTTGACACTTTTCTCGATTTTAGGGAAGCAATTTGTTCATTTTATCCAATCTGGGGGAAATTGAAATGCTGAAATTAGCGAGAATCGATTCTAGTTATAGAAAATTGGAAAAAAAGCAAATAAATTGGATTAACTGAGGCTTCTGTCAGTAAGAAGAGAGCAATTACTAAAATGATCAAACACTAACGTATCACACTAGGTGTACATGAAGGACATAGTTCGAACCAGGGTTGCCAACTCTTCTGATTTATCAGCATTTTTCTGATTTTGGAGGTTTTTTCTGATCCCTTTCTGATTTTCTGATTTTTAACTTTTTAAATTAGCGTTAGACAAGATGGTTTTATGAACTGTAAAAAATACAACAGTTTTCTTCTCCAAATACAGTTGAAGTTGAATTTCTTCTATAAACCATTCGGGACAAAGAAAGAAAAAAAAGAGGCAAATGAGGATCAGTTTTATAAAAAAAAATTAAGATATACCCGTTTTTCCTGTGTTTTGGGCAAAAAATACGTCTTCTGATTTTTGACACTTTGCTTTTCTGATTTTTTCTGGTGTTTAGATTTTTTTTCTGATTTCTGAGGTGTTGAGTTGGCAACCCTGGTTCGAACGTACAATGTTTTTGTGGTTTACGCAAAAATTGTGATAATGGTTCCAAAATATTTTCATTTATAGCAATTTTGACCGCTACTTAGTTTCTTATCGTCGGACGTGACTGTGCTGATTTTATTAAATATTGCAAAGTAATATTGTCATTAATTTGTAAATTTCTAACATCTTCGAAACTTCAATTCATTACTTATACTAGCGCAGAATATTTCCACTTCGTGGACAAATTGGAATGATTTTCTCGCCGACTACCTATGTGTCTATAATTTTTAGTCCGACGTACATTCGATAATCAAGTGAAAAAAAGCTTTTCAAATTTTGAAAACATTCGAGCGGGAATTGTACCCACGTCCACCAAAGTATGTTTTCTCCTCGTCCATCAAGCAGTTGTCATGGATACAGCCTCTTTAAAATCACATCTTATTTATTTTCTCTTGATATGATGAAGATGCTATATCAGAAGAGTTGGTTCATGGTATTAATACTAAATCCTAAAATGGTGTTAAATAAGTTACGAAAAGAAAGAATTCTACTTTTTAGAGACCGTACTCCACCAATAGGACGATATAAATTGTTAGAGAGAAAAAATGATCAACGAGCACTATCATTTCCTTTAATATCGAGAGCCGTGTTATGATACAATCAGTCCATACATCAACAAAAGTACAAATATGTTGCCTCAGTTAGGTGAAGAACAAGAAGTTGAACAGGTTGTCAAATTCACTGAGCAGGGTGAAGCAACCCGTTATGGAAATTTTAAAGGTTATTATGGTTATCGTGATCCATCACAAGATAATCGTTTGACTTGTATGGAATCGCAATGGTTTAACCAGAAAGATGTTCTCGACATAGGTGAGAGTGCGAGCGCGAGGTTTTTTGAAAAATCGAGTATTCGACATTCATGTGATGAATCAATTATAAGAACACCATCTTTCGACTGAAACGTTGTTGTTTTTGATTGTATACCTATAATCTGATGAATGTCGTCTTTATTAAATAAAATAAAAGTTGAATGTTATATCATAACCACATCGAGAGCAGTGTTGTTTTTCTCTGGTTGTAATTGTCTGTATCTGCAAAGTTGCTTTCTAGGAAAACCTGTATAAAGAAAGTACTCTGCCTCAGGGATGAACAAACAGCTACCCTGTTCATCTCTACTCAGCATGGTTTATTGTATTAAGCATTGTACTAAGGATTTGTACACAAGAAAATCGTTTGACTTGTATAGAATCGCAATGGTTTAACCAGAAAGATATTCTCGACATAGATGAGAGTACAAGCGCGAGGTTTTTTGAAAAATCGAGTATTCGACATTCATGTGATGAATCAATTATAAGAACACCATCTTTCGACTGAAACGTTGTTGTTTTTGATTGTATACCTATAATCTGACGAATGTCGTCTTTATTGTATAAAATAAGAGTCGAATGTTATATCATAATCGCATCGAGAGAGAAATGAATAGAAGAGTATTTTAGTCTGCTGAACCGCAAGTTTAGCTTTTCAAATGAGAAGTCACTCATGATCTGATGCAACTGGTATCTTAACTGTTTTTCTTTGTTCAGGCTGTCATAGTGGTCATGTGACGTTTTTTATTGCTGAAAACTTTAATCCAAAAACAATTCTTGGAGTTGACATTGACCAACAACTAATACATCGTGCACGACAACGTTTATTGAATAAAATAAAAAATTACAAACGAACTAAAACTACCAGTGAGCCACACATGCAATTTCCATTGAATATGCGTTTTCAACAGGTAGTTTACGTAAAATATTTTAGCTATAAGCAAGAAAAAATGCAAGCACAAAGCTGTACTTGATTTTCTTATAGGTGTGATACATACGACGAATGCTTTCTGTCACGTTTAAAATGGAGTGTATTATCAATCCTCATCATCAATTAATTCGATGCAAACACACAGTATGCACCTTTTCCTTCCTATTTTTTCAAAAACGCCATTAACAGAATTTGCAGTCAGTCATTCTGTTTGAATCATAAATAAATGATCTAGTGATGTATGTATAGTATAGCAATGCACATTGGAAACGAAGCCTCTGTTTTCTAGTTGTGTTATCGACGTTGTTGAGTCATATACGTTCTCGAGATAATCTGTTTTTCCCATTTAAAAATAATAACGCATCATGTGAAGAGGAATAGTGAAATGATTTCAGATTTTTTCCTATTTTAGCACAAAATCCAAACCTCAGCTTTGTAACGAAATGGATTGCAACTGTTTGTGTAAGTTTATTTAAACACGAAAACTCTATCTATGTCATATTTCTTTTCCATATATCACAGACCAGGCTTTCCAATTGTTTTCAATCAGGGTGGGGAGATTTATTTGATGGATAGTCTTTATAAAAAGTCGAGGAACAGTTTTTTCCTAAATAAGTGAAACAATCGTTAATTGAAAAGAATTTTTGTTACTCTGTATCAGAATTTATTTTGTTAACCAAATAATATTTAGTATTCATCCAATCAGAACTTAAAAGACTGGCGGACAGTGTCAAACTTTAGGGTGGGGAGGTCTCCCATTTCCCCGCCTAATCGGAAACGCTGTTACAGGCAGGGCTTCATTTATCAATATGATGAAGCTCTTTGATTTAAGTAACTACTCAGCTTAAGTTGTCATGGTAAGTTGTTACCTGCTAGGAATTCATGCTTATATTGAATATTATTGTCAATGGAGAAATGATTAGTTGAGTAAAAAACTATTCCTTAAGTTTTCTGTATCAACACCCAAGTTAAGCACATCATTAAATCAAGTTTTTAGACTACTTAAGAACATTGATAAAATGATCCTCAGTAAGTAAGTGTCTAAAAGAAATCATCGACTTCTGATTTATTTTCTTACTATAAGCTTCTTTACTTTTTGTACGTTGTACACGTGCATCGGGCTTGTTTTCTGGCGTTTGTCTTGCGAAAAAAAATAAGCAACACGGGCAGAAAGCATTCGTCCAACGAGAAAAAAAAACATTTTTTAGTCATATTGCATATGTCCTGTGCTAGTCGTTATTTGTTTCTTAAACGTTTTATTTTAATGCTTTTCAGGCCAACTTTGTACTGGAAAATGATGACGATCTAAATTATATTACTGAAGAATATGAGACAATCATTGCGTTTAGCGTAACAAAATGGATTCATTTAAATTTTGGAGATGATGGTATTAAACGATTTTTCAAACGTATCTATCGTGCATTGAGACCAGGTGGAATTTTGTTGTTAGAACCGCAACAGTGGCAGAGTTACCGAATAAAACGTAAAATGACGGTAAGGAGCATTTTGACGAAGAGATGAAAAATAATTTTAGGTATTAAACTAAATTCATAAGAAAATACTTTCTTTTCTTCTGATGATTTTCCATTCCTTGTTGCGCTGAAGCGTCTTGCTCTTGCTGATTAAACTATTTTCATCATCACTTTTGCTTTTTTCAGAAACAAGTCTGGGACAATTATCGTCGTATTGAATTTAAACCAACACAGTTTTTGTCTTATTTATTATCGAGTGAAGTGGGTTTTCAAACGTGTCATACAGTTGCCACGCCATCCAACAAGCATAAAGGTAACTCAGTCTTGCCACAAAAGTGTTTTTTTACAAGCATAGATTTATGTGTGACACTAAAGATACACCCGAACAAAACTGCTTCAGTCAAAATATCTAAATGCTTTAAGTGGCATATCAGTCGATATTTTTTATACTGTTATCTAGCTGTATTATTAAGTATTGATCTATACATCTGCATGCACTAACTGAAATCCGATCCAAATATCAATTCATTGGACAATGTTATCTATTAGCATTGAGAAAAATATTTATCTGCAACTAGATGCATCGGCTAATGAACTGACGACTAGGATGCATGCATTGAACTGTGTTCGATGATTTTTCGTCGCTTTGAAATATAAGTAAAGAGCAAGTAAATAAAGAAAAGTATCGGTTTTATTTTGCATGATGCCCCTTTTCACAGATGTGTAGCATTATCTAAAAGACTAAGAAAAACTGTTTAGGAAATATAATTATCCATCGACTTTCTAATATTGTATTTCTCTTTTAAGGTTTTGAACGTTCAATTTTCATGTTAATCAAAGCAAATTCTATCGATACGCTTACATATCTCGATACTTTATCAGATCAACAGCCAACAAATTTGCCACCTTCCATATCCTCATTTTGTTGTTTTGACGATGATTTGGACAAGATAAGCACAGCTGAAAAGATTGATAGTAGTTCGCTTGCTGCTAATGCTGACCAAGTAGCTTCACTAATGTATACGGATCTTTCAACGCTTAATCAGGTCCAAGCAGTCCAGAAGACCGAATAATAACATACCGACACTTGTTTTTCTATTGTTTTATATGTGTTCTGTTGATGTTTGAAACTGCTTTGTTTCTTTTTTGAAATATATGTTTTTTCTTTCTTTTGGTACATGAGATAATCATCGGCTTGGTCAAGTAGCTAACAGTCAAAATGTATTTCTTTCATGAATAAGAAAAAGAAAGACTGATCTTCACATGTGAGGAAAGTACTCTAGATAGGCAGGAGAACACTATCATATCTCTTGAGTGGATTATGTGTGACGATGGAGTTTTCATAAATCTACTTGACATTCTCTTTTCGGAATTAGAAATAGGTGCGCATATGGTATTTTTTGGGAGAATTGTCGAAAGGTGCTGAATCAATGATGAACAAAAAAGGAAAATGTTAACTCAACATTAATGTGGTTACTGGTTCAATGAATTGGTATTGTGAAAAGTCATTTATCGAAGAGGAGAATTCTCCCTAATTTTTCTGCTGTTTTTGAAAACCCTAGTGAGAATGTATTTGAGCAAGTATTTTTTTGAACAATTCACTCTTCCTCACCAAATTCTTTTTAACTGGTCTGAGCACTGATCTTGTCGAACTATTCCATTTATGTCTGCTCAGTTCTCTTGTCGCTACATATGTCAAGAACATCAGCACAAGAACTGGACACGCACACGTGTTCCAGATGGAACTTTTCTTTTTATTATATTATGAAAATGGAACAAACGATGATAGAAGCTGAGAAAAGCCATATTCGGACGAAGACAAACTACTATATCCTGCTTCTTGACTTTCCTGCAAAAAAAAGAAGAATGTCACCTCTGTCTATTTGACTAAATAAAATAGTTGAATATATGTTTCTGTATTGTGATGACTACGAAGCGAACTGCTCGGTAGTGAAAAGCGGATATCAAATCAGTACCGGAAATATAGCTTAAAGGTACACATTCTACTTCATTTGGAAGGAAGAAGTATACAAATGCTTAGTGCAATGCTTAATACAATAAACAATGCTGAGTAGAGATGAACAGGGTAGCTGTTTGTTTATCCCTGAGGTAAAGTAGGGTAAGAATGCCTAATGCTTAGGGAAATCATCATTAGGGATCCAGTTAATTCTGCTCATTATCATCAGTTAACTATATTCCTCTCAGAAATATTTTGAAGTATTTCTTTTTTTATGGCCGAATAGAGTGTTCATTTCTCTATTGAATTACGCACTTGGAAACTGGTTTAACCCTCAGCTTGGCCACAAATTCATCATAATGCGTACATCTCTAAAAGCTGTTTTCATCAGAATTTCAGAGAGGTAGCGTTAGCTTGTGATATAAACAGTGAAATTAAATTTTTTCATCAAATACAGAAGGGATTCAATTAGGCTCAAAATAGATGATTCGATGGAGAAAATAAACACTCTGTTCGGCCATACCAAAAGAAAAATTTCATAATATTTCTGAGATATACAGATAACTGAGGATAATCAACTGAATGAAGCTGTAGGTACTGTCACTTCTTTTCTATTACATATCAAAAACTCAGGAGAAAGTCACAACTTTTTCGTAGAAAGCCTAAAAGTTTTGGGAGGGAAAAGCTCCTGCCTTCCCAAAGTGTGGTGCTTGAGTGTAGTGTATAATCTGTACGGACTTGAGTAGCGATCAATTGTTTTTTACGAAAAATATTCAGCCTTCAAATCTCATTATGAAATAATTATAGTGTCACAGCCAAAGTAATTTCAAAAATGTTTAATCTTCGTAGAGAAGATTCATTAATTGATTTAAAAATTTCTTTTGCAAACATTCTTCAGGTTTCACGCGGTTATTTAGATTAAAAAGTGCATCTAACAACATTTTCTCCAAGTAAGATAATGAATATTCATATGCCAGATGTCCCACTTGTCGTAAAGAAATTCACCAAAATTTTAGTCCCATTATGAGACATACTTTTGCCTTGTCGTTTTCTGATTCTTTCGAACCTTTCGGTCAAATTTCTTGAAAAAATCCCCTAGCTGTATTCCAAAATGAAAACCGAACAAGATAATAATGGGTACACTCTAAAAAACAATGCGGCTTTGGATCAAATTAAATCGTATTAATATGCCTTATTCTGTGAAAATAAGTCAGACTAATGCGACTTAATTTGATCCTAAGCCGTATTTATTTTTAGAGTGTATAATGAAATAACATTGCAACAATGAAAACGAAACTTCACCATCATCAAATCGTACCTTTAGTTTGACTTACGAGGCAAGGTCCCCAGGTGTTTCCCTGGGATTTCAAAGCAATGTAACCCACTTTGCTAATTTAAGGATGCTGATTACGAATCTGAAAACCATTCGTGCTCTCGTTCAATCCTTCAAGAGTTATAAGCATTTTATTTTAATAGTAGCGAAAAGTACCATATTTTGAAAAAATCACAGCTTTTCATAAAAATGTTCAATAGAACTGAGAGATATGCCATTCTACAGATAAACACCTTAGCTATAAAATGATATGTGTTTTAGCTTGGTTGTCACCACGACTGCCATGATGCAACAGAATGAAATCTTGTGGTAATATATGGAAAATTTTTCTAAACATTTTCAAAAAGAAACATAAAACAAGTGGAAAATGTGCAACATTTTAAAATTTTTTTACTTAACAATCAAACGTTCTCTGAAGCTAAAACGCATATCATTTTATAGCTAAGGTGTTTATCTGTAGAATGGCATATCTCTCAGTTCTAATGAACATTTTTATGAAAAGCTGTGATTTTTTCAAAATATGGTACTTTTCGCTACTATTAAAATAAAATGCTTATAACTCTTGAAGGATTGAACGAGAGCACGAAAGGTTTTCAGATTCGTAATCAGCACCCTTAAATTAGCAAAGTGGGTTACATTGCTTTGAAATCCCAGGGAAACATCTGGGGACCTTCCCTCGTTAGCTTAAAACTACATTTGTACCGAAAAAAGTGCGAAACTTGTAGAGATGGTATAGATTTAGAAGATTATGGTTCGTTCGTAGACATATCTCGTTTATTTTAATACTTTTCTCATCATTTTATTAAGTTTTTGATCAACAACTCGATTTTTTTTTAATATTCATTACATCAACAGATTGATACTTTTCTTTGCAAAAAAAAAACTAATAGATCTGAAATACATTGTTTAGAGTTTATTGCACTTATGCCTGAATAACAATAGAATGAAATTTATTTGATAACAACAATGTATGGTGGTCATTCTTAGTTTTTAAATGTATTACAAATAATTATCGGTTATACCGTTGTCTGATTTGAATTAATCAATTTCTCGTTTAAATGTATTTGCCCAATCTCTGTATGCTGGATCGAATACACTTCGTCGTTCAAAATAATTTGACCAATCTCTGTAGGCTGGATCATATAAACTTCGAATATTTAAATTGTGTTGATTCATCAGTTTATACGTTAACAATTGTCGTACAGCTTCGCTGTCATTTTCGTCCACATTATTAACCTAAAAAAATGAAAAAGTGAGAATAAAATCACTTATGGAAATATACATGATTCACCGAATCAATAACACACTTTTAAACCATTCCCTATATAATACGTTGAAATACATAGAACTCACCATTGGATAATTATGAACAGTTGTTATCATTGATAGTATGAAACATGTGAAAAATAGAAAAATTATTTGCTGCTGCATTGTTTTGGAACTGAATATTTGTGTTAAACAATAGATCTGGTTCTATGTGTGTATTTGTGAGTATAGAATTACCTAGAACAAGATGATGATGTATAATGATTGATGTAGTTTCGCGTACGCATGAACAATAATTGCGTTTGTACTGTAATGAATCAATCCTATGTCGTTTTTTTTTCTGTCTCAATATTTAGAATAATGTAATTGTCGGTTTCATTCGCGTTATCGTCAAAAGCTTAAATTTTCTTTCTTTTCTTGTTACAAATTTTGTTTAACAGTGATTTTAACAAACTATGAAAGAAAATTGAAATCTTATATGAATTAGTTACAAGACATATATTAGCTAATATAATCCCACAGTCAGAGAGGAGAAAATTTATGTAACAGAATGGAGGAAAAAACATACTTCAAACATACTCTTCAAAAAGATAAATATTTTCTTTTTAGAAAAACACCCTTCAAAAACAGATAATTGGCTTTTTAAGAGGAGAGGAGAAATTTCTAATAAAACAAAAAGCTATTTGTTTAAAACTCTTTGTATCGTGTGTAGATAGATAAATTATTTGTGGTTGCTTGTGATCAGAGAGGAAGAGAGAGAGAGAGAGAGAAAGAGAAAAAAGATTTTTGTCATTGTTATCCAATAACAGATTGATACCGAACACTATTAAACGTGATGTAATTTACAGTTATTTCAACAATAATACGACAATATTCTGTTCACCGACAAATATCTAATTAACTGTATACGACATACCGGAAATTAATTTTATTAAAATATCTGACCTTTTAGTTTATCTATCTACTTTAGAATTAAACCGCAATATTTTGCTAATGAATCAATTATGGTGAAGACATCCGTTATATAATTGAGAAAACAAGAGAAAGAGAGAGAGAGAGAAAAAAGAATTTCGTTTTATATGGAAATTATTAATGAGATACTTAGAATATCAAAAACAGTTTTTCTTGATTAACCTCAAAATTTATGCTTATGATTCTATGATTTTTATAATATATTTTTAGTTGTTAAACATAGCTAAGTTTAAATGTTCTCAAAATTATTCAATCTTTTCAATGAACAAAAAATATATTTTATATTGAAAAACTGAGATTTTTTTCATCAAGACCTCTCTGGAAGTGAACATGGTGTGAATAGAAAACGATTCTACGTCAGTGGTAAAAGCATGACAAGGATGATTTTTTTTTTCGGAGACTATCCATTTTAACAAATAATAATGAGAATCTTTTTTTGTACACATTTCACGTAAAACAAACTTCTAATATTTCATGTTGTCGTTCGAAAGGAAAATATAAGGAAATTTTACAACAGTGCTCAGCGAGATGTAATATATACTTATCTAATGAATCACGCAAGCAGGACTGTTTTAACTGGTGGATGTCATTCTGAGTAGTGTCGATCACGAACAATCATCTAGCTAAAATTAGAGCATACTGTTCAACCTCAAAATCAAAATTCAAGACTACTGTAACCTATCGAAACGATTCAAATTCAATTAATTATTTTATTTCTTTTGTTTGACTTATTGACTATCTGTTTTCATTAAAATTCTTGTAAATTTTTCATTATCTTTAATTAGAATTGTTTATGCATCTAATCTTCTACATGTATCAATTATTATCTTGTTTGTCACTATAATCGAGGAATTATTTAACCTAATAAAATTGAATTACTACTAATGTACTAAGTATGTCATCTAGATTTACACATAAAATAGTCTGTACTCTGATTATCTATGTTTGAATAAATTTTACCGTAATTTAATATTAATTTTATAAGAGGTCAATAGTTTTTCAGTAACACTATATGGCAAGTACTCATTTTCAACTAAAACCAAAAATGACATTTAACAAAGAATTGTCTAACCTACAACATCAGATATCGTCTCAATCAAAATTTTTCATTAAAAATATTTTGACAATCGCTTGGCTGCCCATTATAAGAGAGGCCGTGTGAGCCGCTACACACGCACCGTTAAAAAATAGCTCGATAACTAGCTAATCGCCTGCTTCATAAAACACCTGGTCTAGAAATTTAACATTTTAGGCTGCTCAGCAACTTTCAGAATCCTTTGAATCGCACTTTGTCTCTGTATCTGAAGATTAAGTACGAACTCCCCATCACCATAAGTGGAGGCAAAAATGCGATATATCTCGATAAAGTAGAAAAACTAATAAATACGGTGATAAACTTATTTTTATCCGAATAAATTCGAGGGTCAGAGCGACAGCCACATTGCGATATGAACGTTAACGCGGTAAATCCTTCTCATATCGCAATAATTCCAACTATTCAACTATAAAAATACATATTTTAAAATAGAGTTTAGGAATCCTTCTCAGCCTATATTTACAGTCAATATTGACGATTCACCGCATGCGTTGTATGAGTGAGTACTGCTAATCATATATTATTACCTAGACAATGGATCAGGTTTTAGTTTAATTTTTGTTGATTTAACGTACTACCACAGAGGTGAGCTTCTAAAAACCAGATCTCTGTGTTCAAACTGTTTTTGGACGAAATTCGATTTTAACCTCGACAGTTTGTAGAGGCATTGATTTACCAGTATGAGAAGATTTTCATGACGATCGAATGAGTTTTGACAGAGTTACAGACAGTTAAATTTTGAACAATGGCGTAATCGAATAAGCGTGAGCTTTTCTAAAAGAAGGCGGGAAAAAAGCACGAAATGTTGTTAAAACTTTGAATATGGATTAGACTAAGTCTGGAAGGCAACTTCTGCCATCTGAGACAACTTCTTAGAAATCGGTGCCCAAAGTCCTATGAGCAACTTTCACGGTGGGATTCAGAAGCATTGATTACATATGTCTATATGGCCTTTATACAAAAAGCAGTGAGATATCAAAGATTTGTAAATCGAATATAGAACTGCTATGATCTATATTCGATTTACAAACACTTATTTCCAACTGCTCTACCAACAAATATCAAAGATTCTTCCCTTGTGAATGGGGAAGTACATAGGAGTAGGGTACATCTAAATTCATCCAACAGTGCTAAACTAAGCATAGTTACTATATCTCTCGTGACAATTACAGAACTTAGATGTCGCTGAGCCGGCTATTAATAAGGGAATAGAGACCTGTACGGGTTAAGAAAACGTAAGCCGAACCCGATCCGACAACATCTGGACCCAACCCGATAAATTTTTACTCTTTTGTTTTATTCTTAAGTTTATGTCTTTTTATTTACCTATTTGTTTGGCGGAAGGCATCGCATTACAGGCGCTAATAGTCTGCTAATATTCCAGAAAATTTGGGCGAGATATCTTTCTAAATTTGCAATATCACCTCTGATAAAAGAGAAATGTTATCTTTGAAAATTGTGCGATTTGGAAAAACATTGTTTTCCTTCAAGAAGAAAAGTTCAATAACAACCGAATTTAGGGGTTACAGAATTATTACTGTTACTACACAGAGTGTTCCTTTAGAACAAAAAAATCATAACTTTTGAAAGAACTGATATGGATCCTCGTTTAAGGGTTTTTATCAGCTCACTTTCCTCTATTAACTGGCATAATATCATTAAAAACGGAGTTGGGGCATCTGAAGAATATATCCTCGTTAGTGAATGCAGTTGTTCTGAAATAACTATTTCAAGGTGTAAAGAGATTATGAGTTGCCGACGATCTACTAAAGAAAGTGTTTTAAAACAGTGCGAACACATTAAAAAGCAAATTTATTTATTTGTTTCACTTGTGTGCATATACACTGAAGAAAAGAGACAGAAGAGAGACAAGAGAAATGCACTTAATAGTATTTGAAAAAGAAGCAGAATGTTCGTTTTATAAAAATCAACATAAGCGATTCACTGAACTTTCATCGAAACTTCTTTCGTCAAAAAATATTTCATCAAAAAGTGAGTTTATCGAAAACTTTTTAACCGAATTTAGTGGATACTTACGCAGTATTATCTTGAAAGAAGTTTTTCAATGCGCTGTTATGACTTTTGTCTCGTCCATACACAATCTAAACTCAAGTTTTTGACTACACTCTGATAAAAAATCGAGATATCAATCTTTTTATGATGAACCAAACACTTTATGATAAAATCTCAAAATATTCAAGATATGTCAGAGAGATTGACAATATATAAAGGATCAGTACAGCCTCATACCAGAGTTGGAACCGGTCTAAAAATAAGAGGCCAGTCCTAAACAACGGAATGAACAGGGACGGTCGGCCACCGGCCGGTCTGGAAGTTCGTTTAGACTGATTAAAAACGGCAAAAGAACGGCCGGTTTTCAAATATCTTCTAGACCGACAAGAGGGTAGAAAAACTCATTTTTTTAGTGAAGAAGAGAAGAATGCTAAGAATTTCAAACCGGTCAATCACCGGCCGATTTGCAAAATCTTTCTAGACCGGCCGGTCTAAACTTCTACACCGTACCCGACCGGCACCGGAACCGGCCGGCTGGTTTGCCGGTCCAGTTACAACTCTGCCTCATACTTTATTATTGAACCTAAATCTTTTGTTTTTATTTCGTTATGTAAATGATTCTTCTTAAATATTTTCTCTCTAAAAATAAATATTGTAAAAATAAAATAAAAATAGCATATAAAATAGCAATAACATATAAAATAGCATCGCACGAAGTCGTTGCTCAGCACTTAATTCTAACTATAAAGGATCGTCTGCAAACATTTGGCCAAAAATGGGAGCAAAAAGTTGACATTGGTTGAGAAAAAACACCTTTTCTATAAGATTCAACTACGCTATAATTAAAAATCATCCACAATCTGACTCTAGACGCGTTTTACTACTTAATAGTGAAGAACGATTCCGTTTTCGATCTGAAACATCAAAAAGAAAAAATTATTTTCTGAAAAAGCTTAATTTCCTTAAGCATGTGATCAAGCATGTACGTCTACTGAATTTGATAAAAGGTCTACATGCAAGTGTTGAACAACAATTTCGTGCTGTGCTATTCCACACAACATTCATTTTTAGAGAAAAAATATCTAGTTGTGTAGAAAATATTTGAAAAGAATCTATTAGACAAACAGATAGAATATGATTGTGTATGAACGAGACAATTAGATAATCTATTAGATAATTAGATATAATAGATTGTGTATGAACGAGACAAAAGTCATAACAGCGCATTGAAAAACTTCTTTCAAGATAATACTGCGTAAGTATCCACTAAATTCGGTTAAAAAGTTTTCGATAAACTCACTTTTTGATGAAATATTTTTTGACGAAAGAAGTTTCGATGAAAGTTCAGTGAATCGCTTATGTTGATTTTTATAAAACGAACATTCTGCTTCTTTTTCAAATACTATTAAGTGCATTTCTCTTGTCTCTCTTCTGTCTCTTTTCTTCAGTGTATATGCACACAAGTGAAACAAATAAATAAATTTGCTTTTTAATGTGTTCGCACTGTTTTAAAACACTTTTCTTTAGTAGATCGTCGGCAACTCATAATCTCTTTACACCTCCCATCTGGAGAATCTATGAGACAGTTACATTGTAGCTGCCTTATTCAATAAAAGCGTTCCTGAACAGAAAAACATGAATTTTCTCTCAAAAATTCGTTTTGTTTTTTTGAAAATCTCTAGAAAAGTCCGGGAGGTTTATGCATTTTTATGCATGCACGATAGCTACAGGACCAGGCTTTCCGATTGTTTTCAATCAGGGTGGGGAGATTTATTTGATGGATAGTCTTTATAAAAAGTCGGCGAACAGTTTTTTCCTAAATAAGTGAAACAATCGTTAATTGAAAAGAATTTTTGTTACTCCGTATCAGAATTTATTTTTTTAACCAAACAATATTTAGTATTCATCCAAGTCATTCTCATCCAATCAGAACTTAAAAGACTGGCGGACAGTGTCAAACTTTAGGGTAGGGAGGTCTCCCACTTCCCCGCTAATCGGAAACGCTGTACAGAACACATAGACGAACATTTTGGTAATATTTTTGAGTCAGGTTGTGATTTAGCAAATTTTAGCAAACTCGTTATAGTGACCACAGAATAACATTTTTTATGAAAAAGAATCTAATGTCCGCATCGAACGGTAAGGTTTCCAGAAGCTAGCCTGTGGAATACCGTGAAGAAAGCACTTCGAAATTTTTTTATTTGAACCATTAGAAGGAGTATATACGAAAACCTAGAAAAGGTGTCTTTCTAAACTCCCAAATGCTGTTTTTAGGAAGTTATAGCACATGTTCGCATCATAAGGCAAAATTGCTCACTGTGGGATGATCACATTAAAAGGCTCGGTAAATACGATTGTGATATCCGTCAACGCTGTTGTTGGTTCGAAAACTGGTTTCGTTCGTACGAGAGTGAACGTTCCAGAGCTCGATCGGAAATACGAATGGATGGCGAGGTTTATTGCAAAGTCGACAGATATAATTATCTTCCAAATAATCGATAAATTGGCTGTACTGCTGCCATGGTAATTCTTCATATTAACCAGTGATAACTTCAATGGGAGGCAGAAATGTCAGTGCAGCAAATTTCTTTATATTATGTGCAAACACAGGTTCATTATCATATCGTCTCTTAAGACCCAATTTCTTAAGGGGGATCACCCACTTACATTTGGTTCAAATTTCCCAGATTGTAGAGGACACTTCAAAATATATATAAAAATAGTTTAGCGACTTGTGGACTGGTAGTTTTACAGAAAAAAATATTAATTTTTTTCTGGCCTTTTTGCTCATTTTTTAAAATTTAAATAAAATTTTTACTTTTCAGTTTGAAACCTTAGCTTTGTAACCAATCGATAGAGCACCTCGAGATGTGTATGTGAAAAGATTGTCATCGTTCACAGACAACGTCTGGCGGAGAAAATCGGATTTGACATTGAGAATGGATGTTGGAGCACAAAAGTGTGTTTTTTCGAGATCTTGCCTGCAGTTCCTCTGCAGGGAAGCATTTTAGAGTAGAAATGTCAGTGTAGAAGTTGTTTATCATGGTTTTTTCTATGGGATAATGCTTTATTGCCCCTAAATTTCTTAAGGTCAATCTTTAAACTTGAAAATACTGTTGCACAGCAAGGAAAGTCCCGAAGCACAAAATCGTTCAGAACCCTGGAACAAATTTCGCTTGAATGAAGCATTTTCAAGAAAAAGTGTGGATATAAAAGTTGTTCAGAATCAGATTCCCTGGAACAAGAACGAAGGAGTATTCAAAATTCATTCAACTAGATTTTCAAACTAAATTTTAAGAAATTTTAAAATTTTAAAAACCGTATTTTAACGAATTTTGAATACTCGGTCGTTCATATTCCAAGGAACCTGATTCTGAGCAACATTCGTACCCACACTTTTCCTTGAAAATGCTTCCTACGAACAAAATTTGGTTCAAGCTGCTTTTAAAAATACTTTTTACTCCAAAATTCTATGGTGCAGGTCAAAGTGGAATAACTCATTCAAAACTTGATCGAAAATGGTAAAATTTCTTTTTAGACACATCTTGATGTTCTCCATCGATTGATATCAAAATCGAGGTTATAAATAGAAATTTTAAAACAGGACAAAAAATTGAGGAAAAACTGTAAAAACGTTTCTCAAAACCTACAAGTCCGGTGATCAAAAGAATGCTACCATATGTATTTTAAACTGTTCTCTACAAAACTGCTAAAAAAACGGGTGACAGAGGCCCTCCCTTAATCAACGTAGTAAAAAAAAGAGTTAGACCCATGCATTCCCCAAAATAAATCGAAATAAAAACTTGATATTAGTCTGTACAACTTGAGTACTAAAACGCATCGTTTGCCTACAAGAAAAATCTTCTGTTTCCATTACATGGATGTATTTCGAAGATGTATAGTGCAGAAAAGCTAATGCTGTCTACAAAAATCAACATAGAACCTCTCATTTGAATGGTAGTATCCAATAAATAAAATAAAATTACATTTTGATGTTTTTCGATAAAACCCTATTTTGCTTTTGTAAAACTGAACGAAATCGCATTATTAAATGCGATCTAATTTTAATCGTATTAAGTGACAATAGTACGAAATAATATAAAAATTTACCCTCATCAAAGGACATTTTAACTATTCATATTTCGAAGTCTCTTATAAATCAGAATTTTTCACACAAGATCAAAGTCATCATCAAGTTGAACAAAAAAAAGACATAAATGAATGTGATGTCTGTCATACAGTATATTTTTGGCTAATATCAATCTCTTTTACTCACAGTAAAAACATAATTGTCAAACCGTCATCACATCAGTTCACGTATTTGTACTAAACATGCAACTGTACTGAGTTTATACATTGTTAATCATATACATCTTTTTATTAGAAATAAAACAGAATTATAATAAAACAATTAAATATGATATAGACGAATAAATTAATAACAAAAAAACAAAATATCATCATAAAAGCGTGAAAATCTGAAAAAACCTAGCTTGATAATATTTGACTTTGAATGTATTTACATTGTTTATTAGAAAAAAATTATCGTCGTGCTTGTTCAATTTGTTTTGCTGCAGCTGATATCACATTTTCGCTTACATCTGCAACATATAAAAAAAACAAATAATGAAAACTATAAAAGAAATTCGAATTCTTAAAATTTTACCTGTTGAATCACCCATTTTAGCAAATCTAGCATCTCCACCCTGTGAATATTGTCGTAAATAATTGTCTTCATCATTTGTCAATACTTCACCGAGTTTTTTTAAAGCTTCAAGAATTTCTTTTTTTTGCTTTGATCCATCGACAGAATTTAATCGTCCAATTTTAATATCACGTTCAATCTGACAGTACAAAATAATTTATTATCTTAATAAAATTAAAATAATTAGAAATACAAACCTCAGATAAGCGATTTCGTAATTGAACAGGTTGTTTTTTAGCAAAAAATCTTATGACTTCTGGTGTTTGAAATGCTTGACTAATAGCAGCTTGAATTGCCTTCAATAAAAAAATAAACATAGAACTTAATTTGTTTTCTATTTTTGTTTTTCATAATAGATGCTTACACTTTGAATACGCTGAATATCATTAATAAATGTCAAATCACCTTTTTTCATTTTTTCAAGTGATTTACCAAATTCTTCTAATTGATCTCGTGTATCTTTCTTGGCATCTTCATATTCATCATTACTCATTTCATCTTTAAATTTTTCCAAATCTTCTAATTGCTCCAGTAAACGATCGAGTTGCGTATGTAAATTATTTCGTAAAATATCTGTCTGATTAGACATAATAATATAAAATAATCTAGTAGAAGAGAAATAACGTTAATTTTTAGTCATTTTTTCCATATCTCTTCCGTCTACACTGTTCCAAGTCACTACTATTTATCTCGAGTTTATCAAAAACAAACGTGAATATCATCATACTAGAAGTTTTATCATAATTAAAACAAAAACAACATTAACAATAACATAAAACAAGGAATAATATTTCAATAATAAAAACAATTTAAAAATTCATCGTCATCCACTATCTAAAGTATAGCTACTGAAATACAAATCTAATTTGTGATAGAAGAATAAATAAAAGTAACAATCCACCGATTAAACAGGCTGATGGTATTGATAATAAATTTGTCAACTGTTGTTTGTGAACATTATGTAAATATAAATTTTTATCCGCACTTATACTCAATACACTTGTCTCATATAAATAATTTTCATTTTTCAAGATAAATGTTAAATCTGTGACAAATATTGCATGTGAATGTTGTTCATGTAATAATTGAAAATATTGTGTATTATATATTCTTACATAACCACCACTATCACCAATTGAAATAAATAGACCATCATTACTTAATGCCATTGCCGATATACGTTCATAACTAACCGAACGTCTTTTAACTGTATAAAATTTACCAGTTTTCTCTTTATCATTATCTTTACATGACCATTGACATATAAAACTTTTCAATTTATCATTAACAGATTGTGGAACAACACTTGTATATAAATAGCAATCTAAATTATTTGTTGGTGATTTAATACCAAATCGAACATGTCGAATACGATATCTGCATACAGATTTTGACATATCCTGAGATTGTCTTCTTGCTGTAGCATTTGATGTTGTTGTTGCTGTTGTTGTTGAGATTTTTCTATTTCTTGCTGTTACACTACCAAATTGCTTTAAATCTAATTCATTTAATTTGTCAAATGGTGCTTGACATTGTCTTACATAAACGTGATGATCACGTGATACACTAATTAAATAATTACCAGAATAATCAATTGCTAAATCGTCAATTTCTTTTGTATGAGCACGAAATGATGAAATTAAACGGAGTTGTAATAAACGATCACAAGCACCAGATAAGGGTGGCCAAATAATATCATAAATCATTAGTGATCCATCACTTGCACCTAAAAATAAAAAAAAAATTTACTTAAAATTGAAATAAATTTTCCTTCTCATACTGTTTGTCGAAATACTGAATATTGATTAAGAAATAAAAATAAAGTATTTTTAAATATAAATATACGAAATTAAAACTTACCAACAAATAATTTTGATTGTGTATACGGACAAATTGCCAATGCGTTTACATATTCTTGATCATGTAAACCTTCAACCGTATAAATATTGCTCGTTTGTATTGAGCTTACTGATACTGAAGACGTGGGTGGAATCATACTACTATTAGATGTTGGTAAAACGAAGGATTGAGTTGTCGATGCTGGTGAAGATGGCACAGATGATGGCATCATAAAATCATTTCCAAATGCATCAACAGTGGCCTGTCCATTACTGAAGACAATATTTGGTCGATTAATTGTTGCTATTGTTTGATCAACAGATGAGGATGAGGAATTCTTTCGTTTACGAACAGAATTTGAACGATATCGATAATGTTCGTGAATAACTTGTGCATTCGTCGGTGTGGAAGATGATGTTGAAGATGACAGTGTAGATGCTGTTGCATTAATGGAAGATGAAGATGAAGGAGGTGGTGGTGATTCATTTTTACGATAGGATGCTTTTAGCATGATTACTTTTAATTGCCTATTTAATGCTAATATTAAATATTCTCGTTGTTTACGTAATGATACCATACGCATGACGCTGTCATGTTGAGTAAAACTATTGACATTTTGAAGAGAACATTTGACATCGCTTCCAATTGCTGGTTGTTCAATACCATCCAGAAATATCCATTTTAAATCAACAGCATTAGCAACACCAGTTTTGGCTGTACCACCACCACCACCAACAGCAATCAAACCCCAAGAATTCAATGGTACAATTGAATAAGGTGGATAAGCCATCTCTTGTAAAAAATGTGATTTGGAAGACATTAGAAATAATCTGAAAGAAAAATAGACTAAAGGCAATTAAAATAAGTTTCAAATTTGGATGAAGTTTTTGCATCATTTTAAAGAACTTTCACCTAGTAGCTCTAGTTGTTCACAAACCGCATACATAAATTTAGTAAAATGTGCGAAAAACTACTCATAACCTTCAGAAACAAGATGAATAAAATTAGTATCAGAGTACTATTTGAAATTCATAATATTTTTTAGAAATACTGTAAAAACATTCAAAACAGATACTTGTTTTATATTTACAAAAAAGAAACAAAAAAATAGAAGTACATTTAAAAAAATCAACAATTCTCGATTATTATTTTAAAAAAAAAAAACTTTTTTAGTTTTAATAAAGTGTTTGACTAAATGAGTACATAAAGCACCAGGATTTATTTTTATCTCATACTGAAAAACAATCGCATATTTTCGATGAGATTTGCACTGTTCAAAAAGACTATAAATATTTGATATGACGAGAATGACTGAGCAAAAAAAACACGAAGAATAACTAAGTTTTTGAAGATGTTGTTAAACTTCGTACTAGCGATAAAATAAGACTACTTTTATTTTTTAATGCTAATCCAATCGAACCACTCATTGCTGTATTTTGTGTACTATGTTCGATAAGATAAGGATCGTCAGGAATATTATAATCTAAAGTAAAAATAATAAACTAATTAAAATATATTTATTTATTAATCAAAAAAGAAAAAAAAATCAACAAACCTTGTGGTACTGTTTCCCAATCATCCCCGTTCAACATATCATATTTCTCGAAATCATCCCACCAATAATCAGTTACATACGCTCGACTAATATCATTTACTTCTCGTTCAATCATATCAATATAATTTTGAGAATAGATGATCGGCTTTGGACTGAAAAATACAGAACAAAATAAACAATCAGACAATGACCAAATTCACTTGTTCTTACCGACTTTGATATTCATTCACCAATATTAGTTTAGATAAATTTTCTATTGTATGTTTAGCATTTGAATAATTAATTGGTATGCCTTGAGAAAAACATCCGCATAAAATATTTGCATTTAGTTTTGCAATATCGGCACGTAAACGTTCGATTGTGACATTGTTTGTATTAAATTCTCTAAAGCATACATTCATCATGTTAATAATGACACATTTTAAAATGAACAAAATTATTTTTTCTTCTACAAAAAAACAATACACAATTTGAGATACTTACAATTGATGTAAACGAAATGGTAGAGTAATATTCAAATAAAATGCTAATATGTTTATTAATTGACAAGCATGTGATAATCCCGACATAATTTCATTTAATTGATGACTGGTTGATGATGATAATGAATTGGCATTTTCGATTGAATCAGTTTTTATCTGAAGAACTGTATTCACAAAATAATTGTTCTATTTTACATCGAATTATTGTCACTAGTAGTTTTTTTTACTATTATATATAAAACTTACGTTTATCAAATGCATAATCACCGTTTCCTGGCAAACACGAAGCAACAATACGAAATTTCTTATTAAACGATTGATCATCGTATTCCGACCATTGACCTGTAGCATCAACTGTCGTCTGTTCAGCATTGTTAATCATGGCTCTCACCGTCGATTCAATTCCAGAAGCTCTAAAAACCAAAAAAAAATAAAATGACTCTATTATTATCACTGACTCTGCATGATATATGACTCACTCATCAGTATCAAAAGTTTCTTCAATTGGAAATATATATTTACATATTTCATTTATTCGTTGTCTACGTGTAATTAACAGGTTTTTTTCATCTTCAATTCGTTCAGAATTTTTCGTTTGAACTTTACCAGTTGATGCATTCAAAATTTCTTTAATATTTTGAAATTTACGTTCGTAAGATTTTTTTTTATCATGCAATACATTTATTTTACCATGTGTTTCCTGCAATTTGTTACTATCTTTGAAGAAGAGAAAAACAGTTATCAAATATTCATAAAAAAAGTCACGATAGTTCTACTGAAACATTACCTTTTTCTAATTGTTGTCTCATTTTTAGTATGTGTTGTTTGAGTATACCCAAACGTTTTCGTCGAACAAGTATTTCATCAGACTAAGATGAAAATAGGATTTTTATATAAAATTAAGACATCATTTCAATAATCACTCACAGTTTTACGTCTTTTCAAATATGGCTGCATTTTTATCTGAATTCTGAAATAGAAACAGACAAAATAAGACAGTGATGATTTGTTTCTGATAGTAAACGCTTACTCATTGCAAAAATTTTCTTTTTCACTTGCAAATTTTCGTAAAAAAAACATTCGATCACAACATCTAAATAGAAATTCATTTTTAAATACGTATTAATTTATCATGTTTTCTTTTCTTCTTTCTCAACGTTTTGTCTTATATAAAATGTATTTATGTTAACATTAGTAGAACAAAATAACCACCAATTACACCCAAAATAAATTTATTCATTAACTTACTGTAAATGTGTTTGAGTACTACTAGTTTTTCGTTGATTATATTCGTCTAAATCTGTACTGTTCAATAATTTTACATAAGTATTTGGAGATGCATTTGAACAATTTTCATGTTTTGAATGACAAAATTTTCCATTATTTACACAATTTGCACAGGTCAATAAACAATCGTCAGTTATGTGTTTACACAAATGACATTTATAACAGTTTGTTGATAATAATGGTAAATTACCTTTATATGATGATATTAAAAAGTGATTTGAAACCGGAGCAGTTACTGTTAGCAACATTAAATTTTTATTCGGATTATATGTTGGATGATCGCCGTTAGATTCAGACATACCATGTTCAAGATAATCGTTTTGATAAAAAGAACGTTGTGACATAGCTAAGAAAATAGGAAAGAAAAAAAACAAAATTTACATTTAAAAAAAAGTATATCTGACAGACACAACAATTTTGTTGCTTGTTCACAGGTATTTCATATTTTGCTACTATTTTATTGAAAATAGTAGCAAAATATGAATTTAATAATAATTTATACTATAATTTGTCTAGTTTTCATTTTAAAATTGATAATATAGTACATAAGGTAGACAGATAATTTTTCTATGGATTTTGTGAGTGAGGAAGGTATGCAAATTTACATAATTTCAGGTTACTAACAAAGAAAATATCCTCCCAAGCTTCCGATCATAAACTTAAAACAAACATGTTCAAATACAGAAAAAGAATATTTTTATTTTCACTACTCGTACAACAAATAGTAAAAGAATAAATAACAAACTATTATCATACACAAAAAAAAAAGAAAATTATTCCCACAACATAAAAATATAATACAAAACAATGTTCAATATCACGAAATGCCTTAAAAAGAACATTTTTATTTTTTGGCAATATTATGTCATTTCAATTGTCACAATAATCGAAAGAAAAAGAAAATAAACTGTAGCAAAATAAATTGTGGCTTCATTCATTCAATATCATTAATCAGAAGCATCGAAGCAGACAAAGGGTGCATTTATACAAGTAAAAGAGATATATAAGAAAATATACTAAAATAATGTTTAGAAAGTAAAAATGGACATATCAATATCACAACGGTAGAAATTGTAATAACAATAACAAATCAAATGAACTTGTTCCAGCAAAGTAAACAAATAGTCGCTGAGCATAAAAATTTGACTAATAATTCTCATTCAAAAAACAAGGAGCCTAAAAGCAAGCAAACATACAGTGGCTTATCCATTAATTAATAACATTGCAATGAAAGATAAACAAAAGCGAAATGAATGCACATAGTTATAATAAAAAAAATGCTACGTCACAACATTTTCACTAAAATTTCTGACGTCAAGAAATAAGCATAAAAGTTTTTTTGAAAAAATTATATCTATGATACGTTTTCAAACGTATATTTTTCCTTATTGAGCAACTGTTGGAAACATTTCAAATAATCTTTTTATGGTAGTATGTGGAGATACGTCCTTTTGTGGTTGTTGTTTTTGTTGTAATAATTGTTTTTCTTCATTTGTTGTTTTTATTCCTATTCTTTCTCCTATACGAACCAACGTTTCCATTGAATTATTCGAATTGTGTAGTAAATCATCATCCCATTTAATAACAGAATCTTTAAACACAACCACAATTGTCTAAAATATACCAAGAAACACAAGTTCTTTATCATTTTTTCAAATCATTCATAATAGCATACCGATCCGCCATATGCAAAATATCCAACTTCATCTCCTTTACGAATAAGTTGTTCTTTTTCAACAGTAAAATTAATAGAACCAACTAGAAGTGCTCCAACTGCTACAAATCCGACACTACCAAATAATTCATTGTCCGTCTCGATCGTAGCGACAACACGTTGATTTTTTGTAAGTACGTCTATATTTTCTTTAATTGCTACTGGATTCACTGTATAATATGTTCCAGAAAGTTTTTCTTCTTTTCCCCAAATACCAGTAACTGGAGAATGAAATCGATGATAGTCAACTGGAGCTAAACGAAATACAGCCAAAGAACCACCCTTGAATGTTTCTGCCATTTCTTCATTATTAAATAAATGTTTTAGTGAAAATCTTTGTCCCTGAAGATTAAAGAACAATATACTTTATTTATTATTAATTTGTAAAAGAAAAATATTTACCTTTATCCATATACGTGTAGCATCATCGATTGTATTAAATACAATTAAACGACAGTCGGCAGAAGATACAACGATTGTAGGATCATTAACACTATCAATTGGACGAACGTTAGGTTTTAATTTACGATAGAAAAATTCATTAAAACAAGAATATTTTGTTAAATCAGGTTCAAGTAATTCGTCAACATCTAATCGATACATTTTGACAAATGCTTGAATGTGTTTTCGTGATTTTGGTTCATCAAAAGCCTTGCCTAATCGTTTTGTTTCATGTTCAAAAAATTTTTTGATACTACGCTTCTGAAGCAATTCTCGTTGCACTGATCCACTAAATAACAATTTCATTCCCAATTTATGATACGAGGGCATTTGCTCAAATATCAATTGATTTGTTTTTCGATCTAGAACTTTGAATGAATATCGACCATCTTGGTTTGTCTCATCATAATTGAAATAAGCACTGGATGAACTTGTTAGTAAATGTGTACGTATAGTTTCTTTTTGTGGCACAACAGAACGAAGAAAACCTCCATACCAATCACGAGGAACAAATGTGTGTTCAAAAATATTACTAGATCCATTAACGCCATTCTCAACTGTTTGCGTAATCATGGACGAAAAATTTTCTTCTATTTCTTTTGTTGTATCAGCATTCGTGAGTGACAGACGAGAGGAATCAGACTTTGAACGTTCCATTTATATTCTAAAATAAGCAAATGGTAGCCCGCATGATTTCTGAAAAATTTATTTTGAACTAAATAAGAGATTTTAGTATGTGTTAGTACATGAAATATTCGAATAATTTAGTCTCAATAACTTTCTACATTCTCACATATGCATTTCTTCGCTGCTCCAAATACAACATTTTTTTTTGTAATCTACTTTCTTTTAATTCAAGATTGCAATAAATATTTCCAATAAAAAAGAAGAACAACAAAACAACAATAGAAAAAACTTGTTGTGAAGAATATCGTCATCGTGAACAGAACACAGAAAACAACGACAACAACAAACCATCGAGATCAAACTGAAATGAGACTGAGAAAGAAAAAAAACGAAATACATATATGAATTTTCAGGTCGAGATAGAAAACCGGCAGAGATGCAGAGAGAGAAATCATTCGAACACTGAAACAACAAGAACAATTTCGTCGAATTTAAAACGAGAAAGTAAATGTAAACGCTGTTATTGTTTCTTTTGTAATTACATAAAGCACTGTCATTCACTATGAGAAAAGAAAAACGCGTTAAAATCTCATTCATTTGCAAGAATAAAATGTTTGATCGAAAAATAAATAGGATTTAAAACAGAAGCACCTTTTTTTTATAAAGATAAATAGAAAGAAAGCACACAAGACATTTTCTTCTACGGATATGTTTAGAACACTCAGAAGAAAATACATACTAGAACAAACAAAAAAAGTAAGAAAATAAATTACAGTAAAGACAACAGAGGCGTCTCGTTTATTTCTAGGGTATAATAAAAAGAAATTTTTTCGAATACGTTTTAAAACAAAGATAAAGTTCTTTTGCTGTGGTAATAAAATAGAATCTGCTGAATTGAGCAGAACACACAGAAAATAATGCCGTTCGAAAGAACGATAGATCACCACACACAAACATAAAATATTTATCGAAGATAAATAGGTATAACTGACGACGTTATAAAAGGATCGTTAAAGATATTTTGTCAATCTGAATTGAAATAATGCTTCGTCATCGATCTGACTGATAACAAGGGAAACTGGTTCAAATCAAAAACATGAAAAGAAAACATTAAATTACATTGTTGACAAGAGAGTTTAACGCTCAATGAATAAGTTCAGCAGTGGTTGTTGTTATTGATGCAGCGGGAGATGTTGAAGGTATTTTACAAGTTTGCTCATGGTATAATGTAAAATCATAATGATCATATGAATCGCATACAACTGCTGCGGTCGATGTTAATTCTTGACACAGATCATGAAAGAATTGTTCTGTTTCGTCTAAATAATTCGATGATGAAGAAACGGTATTTGTACATGGAAAAGGTAATAATGGGGACGTGTGTGATAGTTTTTCACTTTCTTCACATATTCGGTCAACTGGTAAAGCAATAACATTTGTCACGGATGTATTTTCTTCAATTTTTGTCATTTGATGACGTCTTTCAGAGCCAATCGCTCGATTTGATAATGATGAATTTAAACATTCATTTTCATTGAGAATCTGTTGTTCTGTATCCATTGATTCTAAAATATTTTGTTCTAATAATATCCCATCATCGTTGTTTGCTGTAACTATTGCTGTTGTTATTTCAGCCTGTTTAGTCGAATCATATTCTTCAATATCCATTTCGCATGAGTTAACATCTAACATCCAAGATGTTTGTTCATTTTCATTTTCTAATTCTTCTTGTGTCTCATGTTGTGTTTCTTGTGCTGGATCACTTTCAATTTTTTTCAACAAATTCCAGACTAACAAACGTTTCCTTAGTGACGCTTCAATCGGTCGACTTCGATTACTAATATTTGGACGTTGCAATTTTTCATAAGATAATAGTATAAAGAGATTTCTTTCCATCATAACCATGATTCTTCGTTTTTTGTGCTGATATCTGTACAAAAAAAACATAGAAAACTGAATGAATATAAAATCTGGAGAAATAATTTATTCTCTTGTTAATAAATAAAGATACGACTATAAGAGACAGACGCTCTTTTTCTCCTAAGCTTAAGAGAAACATGCTTTCCAGATGGTAATTAGAAGAGACATTCATAAAAAGCAGCTCTTGCTGCGTACGTTAGCAAACACGCAAAATGATATTGATAAGTCGGCTGTTGTCAAGTAAAAGTACACATATCTCGCTGAAATCCTGCCATACGCTCCATTTCGCGTTAAAATATAGTTTCATCAAGAAAAAGTAAAGAATGAAGCGAGTTTTTTTTCTTTTAGATCAGCCGATTGCACCACTATCTGACTACCACAATTGTAATTACAATTTAAAAAACCGACCGTACATTGCACAAGTTATGTCTATAGAAAAAGAGAATAAAAAAACCACGTAAACTCGACACGATTATTCATTCGCATATTGCAAAATATTTCAAAATTCAAAACGGTAGAAGTTATAGCAAATTTTCTTATGCTGGCACAACTTTTCTCATCTAGTAAAATAGACAACGTGTTGAAGAAGAGATTTTCAACAGCTCAATCCCAATTTCGACTTATCTTCTCTCTTTCTTTAGCGCATGCGACAGTCGTGATTAGAATGGGGAAAAAAAGTTCCAGAAAAGGAAAAAACCGAGCGTCATACACCGTCTATGACGCACTGACGAGAGAACTACTGATGATCAAACAGCTGATTCCGTTCGAGCTCGCATTAGACTTTCACTTTAGGATTCATACTTGTTTTTGTCAATTGATAAAAGGAATGATTAATATTTTATATTATCAAGTCGTTCGACTTCTCCAATCTGTTTATGCACTTTCTGAATGAGGTTTTTTGCTCATTGTTGCTTAGAAACCCACCGTACACTACATTTGCATGGGAGAGAATAATAAAAGCATAACCAACGTGTGCTTAGATTGTAAATCAATATTGTACTATGAGAAAGAAAGATGAGTCTCGAACTTACAATGTAGTCTTCTTTACTGCTTTCTGTAATGAAAAGTGCGTCTTCTGAAATGCTTCCTTGTGCACACTATAAAATAAAACTGTGCTGTGTTAGAGGATACATTTGAGATGCTGCGTCAGAAGTGTACCATTTATATGAACACTTGTATATTTGTCTTATCTGACGGTATATGGAATATGTTCTGAATTGGATTGTGGTGAAAAGTGCGTCAAATAGGTTAGAATAAATGCCCATTCATCCGTTAAGGTGTAAAATGTGTTTCCCATAGAATGTCTTTTAATCTCTTTTTGATCACTCCTTTGTTTTATATATATAATAAACTCAAAATTTTACTGAGAAAATCGAAAAGTTTGCGGTATAATTAATTGACGCTTGAATCTGAATGATTAAATCACGTCGCAAGAGAATTATTTTTGAGGACTAAATGACTTGAGCTCAAGTAGCTTATACGGATCTTTCATTCGGTACTTGAAGTGTCTTGTCATTCTGCAAGTTATCTCCAAGTTATTGTCGGAGTTAGGGCGTAGAAACAGCTGGTAATTTAAATGATTTACCTACATTCCCTCCTGAATCCACTACAATAAATTGAATATATGCTGGGCACATTCGATGTGCCTTCGTAAGCGGCAGAATTTTTTACGATCGATCGCGCATGTAGAAAAATGTGACACTTTTTTACAGTACAGATATTGTGCAAATAATATATAAATGTATTGCACACTGATTTTTAGATTGTTTCTTTTGTCATGTCAACCATCACTTACCCCGATATTTCCCACAAAAAGCAAGTAACAACAAAATTTAGGTAATTCTTCCATTCTATCTTTGAAATCAAATAAGATGTATATCCAAATGGAATGGCTAAATCCGACGATCGTAGTTTTTCTGAAATTTTAGTCCAAACAGTTATCGAGTTATCACTGAAGAAGTTAGTAATGACAGCTTGCCACCTTGGTATACAAATCAGAAACCACCTCCATTATATACTGGCCCTAATGAAATTCCTACCCAAGTAGCAGAGGCTAGAAATAATCCTCATGCCGCCAGAAAAGTGGATATGGTGTATGAAAACGTTGCAAGTCTTAATGGACCATATGGTATCATCAAAACAGACAATGTTTCTCGGGAAGAAAATCGTTGGTGGGATTGGAGTCAACCGACTGAGAGTTATGGTCCACGAGCCAAAGTAAATGAGGACTGGAAGAAAAGGTACGAAAGTTCATATCGGGGTACATTTGGCTTATCCAGTGAGACAGGGCCATATACAATGAATAGTAGACATTCATCAAATCCGAATAATACCGAAGCTGTAGGAATAGGTTGGTGTTCAGTGTGCATGTCTATCGCTCTAGTCTATCCTCAATCAATTTAATAATCTTTTAGTACCAGTAACAGAAATGAAACAGAAAGGACGTGAACAAATTAATCAAAAATTGGTGGAAAAAGTTTCATTTGAAAATCAGTATGATAGTCGTACAGATACAAATTATCCGTTGAGAGGACGTGTAAGTGTCGAGATACAGCAGCGCCATTATTTTTATAGTCTATATATGTGTCATAAATTCTAGCGTCATGGAGCATTTGTAGTTGATTTACTTGAACCAAAACCGTTAAAAGGGACAACAGCGCCACCGAACGTTGATGGTGCAGCTAGTGCCTGGGATTTATTTCATCCAACCGATGCAATACGAGGTTATCAAGCTAATACACCTCATAAATATAGACGAGAACGAGAATCGTCAAACATAGCAGATAACGGTCTGTCAAATCTATCACCATGGAAAAATGCACCCTACGCCACTGATCAGCAGTACGATAGCTATTTTCGAAAACAAGCATTGCCACCAGCGCCTCTTAGAAGAACAGAATAATAATTTGAAAAATAGAAAATTATAACAGGTTATCTATTTAAAATCAGATGTTTGCCTTGCCTTGCCAGTTTGACGCTACGAAGCCGTAGTATCATCAGCAGTTTAATCTGTCATAAATTATTATTCATATCATGCACAAATTCTCATTCCACTTCTTCAGATTCAGTCGTTCCACTATTACTCATTCAACTTTTTTGTATTTGGGTGTTATTCTTTTGTAATATAAAATTAAATCAATTCTTCTGTTTTGAATTTTTGAATGATAATGCAGAGACAAACATCTTTGTATGTCAGATAAAAGTTAGCAGTGTGGGAAATTCATTTTTTAATATGTTTTGTCAGAACAAAGAAAGTGGTTAACAATCTTTTTCTAGTCTTTGTACTGTTTAAAGGCTTTTTCTTTTGTGAAACAGTAGATTTTACTAATAATATATCTGGCGATACTCTACACTGAGTAACAATCGTCTTTTTTACATACTGAGATTTTCAATAGAAATATAGCATTTTCATTTACATTGTGCGTATGCGCGATGGACATTAATCAAATTTATCATAGCTTAGAACATCAAACAAAAAATTAGAAGTAAATAAAAATCGTTGAAAAGTATGTTGAGAATCGAAAATATGAGTTTATTTTCGATAAAATTAGTACATCTGGAACAGTGGGAAGAGAAATTAATTCGAAAATATACAATCAGTTAATCATTAATATTATTGTTATCTCAAACTGAATAAAAATAACAAAAAGAATTTTCTAGTTAGTGAAATTTAATTTAATTAGCATGGATGATGTATGATTTCATTAAGATGACAAAAATAGCTGCGTAAATTGTGTCAATTAATTTGTCATTTTCTTCTGTCCAACCGATTGGCAAGATATATTTCGTATTTTGGATACTGTCGTTGAATTCTGCTCATGTCACAAAAAATAGTATTATTTTTCAACAATGTCAAGACAATTGAAGATAAATCATCGCTCATTTGTTGAGAGAATTTCTTATTGAATATTTGTCATTTTCCACAATTTTGTGTAATACATCTATCTTAAATATGTGTTTCAATGCTGATAAAATAATCCATGTGTCAACAACTTGAATCTGAATTACATACTATTCCATTCTTATGAATCTCTGTACAAAAGAAATTGAAATTGAAACTGTACAAAAAAAATCTAACCAGATCGTTCGAGTTCTAGTAGCTCTTGTCGCTCAAACTCTCATTCGAGAGAGTGTAAGAGCCCACTAGCTATGGCGTGTATAATACGTCTGTTGACCAGTGTGAGCGATGACTCACACTGTAAAGAATTTGAGAAGAAACTTTTCTTGGTTTTCATTTTCTTCAATGTCATATCTAAAGTACTGCTGTCGCAAACAAAACGGTGAATATATTATGCACACAGAAAACAGAAAAAAACATAAAGAAGCGCACGACAGGATCTGTCGGTCTGCGACGACCAGAAATTAACGGATCCGATCTCCAGATCCTCCAGGATTCAGATATCGGGAAACAAAAGAATTGAACGCATTCCAGTCTCCGCTTCCAGTTGGCTGTCCGGAAGTCACCGGAATTAAAAATATCCTACAGGATCCGATAGGTGAATTCGACCTGAGTAGGCGTCAAGTTAGTTACTATATATTATTATCATTCTGGTGCATCCATTTGAGCAGCCAGAATGTGACACATGATCAGATGAAAATTTGTACTTGTATCATGCACTTCGTTTTTCAGTATTAGATAAAACTTTTGAACTGGACGAAAACAAAACTCGACTCAGAAAAGTTTAAAAGCCCCGTTCACAAATTCATCCGTTTATAAACAAACTAAGACTTAATTTTTTTGTTTTTATTCTTTTCAGAAAAGCTATGATTATGGGTTTTCATTACTCTACGCTACAGGAGGTGCTCCATCGTAGCTTGTCTGAGAAGAACGAAAACAAGAACTGCAATCCCATTTTGCTTTATTTCAACTCAAAACATTCATCAAGGAAGGAGTTAAGACCCTTTCCTGACCCAAAACATTTTCGAGTTTTTTGCATTAGAACCATGTCAGGGGATGCTCAGGAACATTACTAGATACTTAGTTTCGCGAAATCTCTCGATCAGGTTTCTGAGGCCTGAGGTCCCGATAGGGTTTCAGGAAAACTTTTGATTTTTGATTTTTTCCAAACCCACTTGTAATATGTAATCGATCATACTGATCACGAATATCCGTATTAGAGGTATCAAGAATGGTTTGGTAAGAAGTAATATTCAATTTATCTCAATCTTCTTGTTTTCCGCTAAAAAGAGTATTTCGAGACCCCCCGGCCGCGGAAGTACCTAAAAATTAAAATAGGAGATCGTGCACAATTTCAGTTCGCTGTGAACTCATTTTTCTAGAACTTTTCTGTTTCGCTGGGTATCTTAGGTATTTAGGGTGTCTAGGGTATTTTAGATATCTTAGGTATCTAGGGTATCTACGTAGAAACCCTAGATACCTAAGATACTCTAGGATATTTAGGGTGTCTTAGGTACGAATTTAGGATATCATGCAATTGCTTTTCGAGCCCACTCTCAATCTCACCTCTCTCCTCCCTCGCGCCGGCCACGAATAACCTCGTACATAGGTCCGGTACATATATATAATATAATTCGCTGCGAACTGAAAATGTGACTACTATATTAGAGTTCGCAGCGATCTGATATTGTGCATAGTATGTAAAATAGATAGTGTTTCCGATGCAGAATTTAAGCTGAGTTCGAATATGGAATCAAAGAATCTATTCAACCTCCAGTTTTTATGGAAATCGGCAAAAACTGATGCAAATCGTATTTTTTGACGGTATTCGCCCTAGGTATGCACCGGTATCGGTATTCATACCGAAATACTAATACCGAAAATACCGATACCGACAATACCGAACTTCGGTATATACCGAAAATACCGACTTTTTTCACTTAGAATTTTTTGGATTTTTTCATTTGAAATGAGATGTTTTAGCGTCCTGGACACCCAGAATGAATCAGGGACGGAAAACAAGAGCTTTGTTTGCTTTCTA